TTTGCACTCTTAATCTCATGAAATTGGGAAGAATTGAATCGCTGTCATAATGGTGCTGAAGTACCAGCCATCAAAATAAACAAATTGTGCTGTTTCTTGCTAAATAGGAGATAATGCACATTTTAATACTTTTAACAACCAAACTGTGACTGCTCATGAAATATGAACTGAAAAATAAAGTAAGCAAGTTACCCTAATGCTTTGCAGTGGCATTTCGGTTCTGTACTGCCATTTTTGAAGAGTGCTTTTGAAACCCTAGAGTGTAAATGATGTCTTTATGCATCTTTTTCACATTTAGCATTGTCATTCTCCATGTTTGTGTTATTGTGCTGTACTTTAAGATAAGTAGGACAAAAACAGTAACTTTGACCATTTAATTATTTTCTTTCTACTGTGGCACTGACTGATCTCCACAAAACATGACACCTCTTATTCTTTATCTCTGTAAATTTTAATTTAATATTTGTTTTTATATTTGTACATTGCCAGGTACACCTGTGCTCATAATGTGGATGTATTGGTGCCGAATTTGCATGTATTCAGAAATTTGCTAATGTGTGTGTGACGCTGTGTGCTTCATTCAGGCATGCCAAGATAGCTTTCTGAATGTGCCTTCAGTGTTTAGCTGTCGTATTCATTCGGTATAATTAGTTGCATACAGGAATTAAGTTGAATATCTACTCACTTGTGACTCCATTGTTTCATCATTCTGTCATTGAAGCATTATATTAACATTAATGGGATATGTGTGGGTTGTGCCAATACATATGTGTGTAATAATGATTTGTGTTGTATTAAAAAGTGTGTCTTTATTTTTCTCCACCAATATAACTGATGCTATTTCAAACCATGTTAATGTCTATTTGTTCATATTTTCCAGCTTGTTTTAATTTGTTATTTTTCACTTGAATTTCACCTTGCTTGCTTTGTGTGTTAAAAAAACAATAATTTTGCTATCCTGCATAGATATTTGCTTTGCGTGTCAAAAATCAGTGCAATAATTTGTTATAGTGGTCAAAAACGAGTTTAGGCTCTAAGGGTAGTATCAGAATTGCACCCGAATCACGCCTCTGTATTGGCAGAACGTGTTTGAATGTTTTAAACATTGCATTTATGTAGAAAGGGTTGGGAGTTGTGTGAAACATGTGCTGTAGCACTGGACTGCAGCGACACTTACTTGACTACCTGGTGCTGCAGTCTAGTTTTGTGTAGTGTGTGACTGATAATTTGCATTGCATGCCTATCTTCCTTTGGCTTTGCAGGTTCCCTTTCACCAGGGTATCCAGAGCAGTACAATTCACTCGTGATTGTTGAAGATGGGCGCCATCTTTGTCGGCAGTGCCTCTACATGACAAAGAAAAGGAAGAAAATGGAAGGCCACCTTCGCAGACATGCAATCAACAAGCCCCTCTACCATTGCCACCTATGCCCAGCTGCATTCATGGAAAACCGCATTCTCGTGCAACACATACGAGGACACACAGGAGAGCGTCCCTTTTCGTGTGTCCACTGCAGAGCATCCTTTTCGCTTAAAGGCAACCTGACCGAGCACTTGCGCACCCACACAGGAGAGCGTCCGCACCCCTGTGACCACTGCGATAAATCCTTTTCGCGGAGGACCTTACTGGCGGATCATTTGCGCACACACACTGGAGAGCGTCCCTTTTCCTGTGTCCGCTGCAGCGCATCCTTTTCGCAGAAAAGGCACCTGACTGACCACTTGCGTTCCCACGCAGGAGACCGTCCTTACTCCTGTGACCGCTGCAATGCATCCTTTGCGCGTAAAAGCAGCCTCTCGCAGCACTTAAACATCCACACAGGGGAGCGTCCCTTTTTCTGTGACCACTGTGAAGCCTCTTTTGCGCACAGAGGCTCCCTCAGGCACCACATGCGCACCCACACAGAAGAGCGCCCCTTTCGCTGTGTCCTCTGTGGGGCATCTTTTTCATTAAAAGGCAGGCTCGCTGTCCACATGTCCCGCCTTCATTCATAGAAAAAGCCATAAAGGTGAATAGCATACAAACTTAGCTTGTTGGGAGGGGGTAGATAAGAAAGGTTCATTGATGAAATTAATTTCTTTGGGGAATGTAGCTGCTTTAGTGCCTCAGAAATATAGTTACTAGAGTATATTGCTCTTTGCAAAATCCGTGACTGTTAATGAAAATTTCATAAGAAGTGTTGAGTGACATACAGAGACGGGCGGAGGTGCTAAGAAAAGTATTCTGGAAGTCAGTTATTGAAACGTGCACTGGAAGCCTACGGTATAAGCACTGAGATACAATTGTCAACAATATAAGGCAATATTTCTACAATAAAATTGAAAAAGAAAATGAAAAAGTATCTTGGAATATAGATGCAGGAAGACAGATGCAAGAACACAGATTACTTAAATATTTTTAAGTTATGTGGGTGCTGATGTTTTGTAATTACACTTATCAGTGCTGTGTGATATTGTGAATAAATGTTTAGTGCATTTAAAATGCAAGTATACCATATTGCTCGAATTACTAATTAACAGCAGTGAATTCAGAAAAAGAATGCCTTGATTTATTCATACAATCTGTTTCACTGAAAAAAATTTGTAAGATATTTGCACTTCAGCAGTACCTTCTCAATTAAAGAAGCTACTACTTCTTCATATTAAGCTTCAATAGAAGACTTGCGAAACAGAGAACTCTGTTGAGCATTGCTGACCAGCTCAAGCTCCTGTTATAAGAAGTTCAAAAATTCCCCCCCCCCCCCCCCCCCAAAAAAAAAAAGGAGCTCTACATTGGACTTTTTCGAAAGAGATCTACGTTGCCGAGCACTGCCGTCAGCTGCGTCAGACATTTCACCGAGTGCGCCATTTTGTGTGTGCAGGGAACCCTTCAACGACATCTGTGTGTCAGGGGCGTGCCATTGCTTGGCTTAGCACAGAACAGTCTTTGTTTCTCCCTTCAATATACATCAACTGATTTCAAACAAAAAAGAAGCATGATAACTCTGCCTTGTACAGTTTGCAATACATTTGATACATCAGGAAAGCATTTAACTACTAAGATACAAATACACTTTCTAAATATATATATCAATACAGAAAAATACAGATACTCAAAAGTATCTCTAAGGTACTACCGTGATACTCTTGTTGTGTTGCGATACTGCTCAGTCCTACATACATATATGCATGCAGTTTCTCACAATAATACCTTGAGGGAAATTTAGTGCCACCGACTACGCGAGTTTTCCATTATAGGAATGATGGTATATGTTCAGTGTTCTATAGTAGATCTGTCTACTGTGTCCCAAATTTGGCGTCGGGGGTCCTTTAATTTGAATACGAGCTTATAAAATTTAGGTAAAATAATATAAATAATTTCTTAGCGCTATGGAAGACAATCTGTATCAAACAAACACTAACGAAGGTAACATAACATAGCAAGACATATATAAAAATTTTCACACAATGCTCTAAAGGGCGTTGAATTTCACCTCGCTTAGCAACTCCCCAAGAGAGTCTGGCACACACAGTACATACGCGTTTTCTCGATGGAACAGGGTAGCCACCATTGAGCGAGTTACACTGCCAACATTGGGTGATATTTCGGTAGCTTTTTGGTCGCGTACAACGGAGATGGTTTCAGTTTCAGAGAACACCGTGTAAAGCATGCAGTTTTTCATCAATCAGAACTTCATCAGTAATGGTTAAATGAGTGAGTGATGCTACGAATGTCCACAACATCTACTTGAAGTGAGGTGCAGTTAGAGACTGGAAAAAAAAAAAATCCAGTAATCGCCAAGGAACACAAAAACTTCTTAACAGAACTATGTTCAATCTTTTTCTACAGGCCATTGTCCACATTTGCTAAATATAGACCACTTAGCACTCGTGTAATGGCAGACTGAAAACACACACCTTGCAAATACACTTGTCTATTCCAAATTAAAATGGTTGACTTTAAATATGAAGATGAAAGATCTGTGAATCCACTAATATTGATCTCAGTTCATTTTAAAAAGCTATGCTTCTGTACTTGTCAATAGCTGCCTCAACGCTGCACAGTATACTCACACCTGTGAAAGTGAATAATACAAAATTTTCAAAATGCACTGATGTTACCCAAAGTCTGGTTGTCTAAAAAACTTACCTCATCAGAATTAAGGGCAAAGGGATCATTACATAGCAGCCTGTTTAAGTTTTCTTTTAACAACAATGACAGTGCTTTTTGCCAAGACTCACTTGCTGAAATGGTGACCCTTGATGCAAGTTTGTGAGTTTTAGCATTGAAGAAAACGCTCCAGTGATCACTTTCGCTAGTACTAATGGCTTTTACTAAATCAGCAAGGTTCATAGTATCGCTCAAGTTTTTTGCTTGCGCTCTCAAATTTTTTAGCAGCAAATCTGGATGCCCATCAAAAACAGCCAGAAGAGCTTTACTGGCTTTTTATATGAAAATACTGTGAGAAAGCACACAAAATCCTCCATCTGCTGTGAGTAGGGAAAAAGATTTGTCAATCCATAACGAAGCACCATTCTTTACACTTCAGATTTGAAGCCGTTACGATTCAAGACATCTACACTTCTGGCAACAGAATGAATCTTCACTCTGAATTTTCAAGATGATGGGAAGCATTTATCTGCTATTATCATACGCTTTTAAGTGGCTGAATTCATGAGAAAAAATACTCTGATAAATTGTAGTAAGTCAGTGCTGTGTGTTTTCCCTTCCTGTGTCCTCATTGTTACTTGCACATTGTGTTTCATTATGTTTAGGCATTAGTACTGCATATGTTGCATTCATAAGAAAGCTGCCTTTCATGTAGAACGCATGCACAGAGCATCGGCTGCTGAATACAAAATGCGCTTCTTTTATGCACAAAACACTGATAGAAATATAATGCGTGCAGCAATAAAAGACACCTCATTTGCTAATGTAGAATGGGCCCCTACGGGCGCTGCCTCAGATGAATCCACCACTCCTTCGAAGACAATGAACACATCGACTAACATCATATGTGATTGCACAACCATAACGTAATAAGTTTATTTCACACGATAAATTCTTTGGCCCAACGGCATTAGTGGTGGCCTCGGTGTCTGCTATTTGGAAAGGTACTGGAAGCCTTGCTGATGCTGGGGTCGGGGCAGGCTGCCAAAAGTACGCTGGGGGGAACCCTCGGTTGAGCTGCCCCCGGCTACGCTTCCTCCGCCGCCTGTACGTCGTCGCAAAGTGTCTAAGGGTGTCAGGTCACCGCTGGCACCCTGACGTTTCCGTGCTGAAGACAAGTTGAAGAATTACATTATTTACTTATGTCCCTTTCCAATCCAAATTTTTTTAGGGTAGAACAAAACTTTTTGATATTTTTTTTTCTGGTGTAGAGACCATTGAAAAGCATACAAAAGAAAATTAAGAAGACTAATGGCATCTTCGGCTTAGGAGCTCTGGCATCAAGATTGTGGAAGGAAAGTTACGTCAAACGCCACCCGAGTTTCACGCCTTGCTACGGGCCAGACGAACGTGTGAACAACAACGCTCGAATCCACGACAGCAGCGTCGTCTGTGAGAGATACCATTCAGCAGATGACAATTTCCAGCATCCTGTTTGTACTCGGAATAAAAGAGCAAACGACAGAAAACCATACACTGAGAGACATTTGTGAGATGCTACATTTCAGTGGGTGCGCGTCTGTTCTCCAGGTGGTTGTGCTGCATCAGTATTGCACCAACTCGACGAGGGTTATGGTAATTTTTGCATAGTCTTCAGTGGCCAGTGAAATCGTGGCAACAAAAGTAGCCTTGTGCGAGTACGCTCGGACGATGTGGGCCCACGTATGTTTTCCGTCCCGTCCGACCATAGAGTTTCATACAATAATACCTAGAGATAAATCTGGCGCTGTGATCGCGTACCTCCATGGAATTAGGGAAGTACGTACATGCTTCGGATTGGATAGGGTTAGCTAACGAACTGTCTGTCTACAGACTTTTTTCTAGTTTCATGTTTCGTTCTTCGCGCAGCGCCTGGTAGTGGGATGCGGTGAAAAGCACTGAAGTAGCGCCATTGTTGTTCAAAGAGGCTTAAGACCACTAGGTCTGAAATTTGCTGCGACGTTGAAGCTTTAAAAGTCGTATCTGACAGTTTAAACGAAGCATCGTGCACTCACTGCTGCGCATAGATGTAGCATCTCATGCCAGTGCAGGAAATTGCATCGTGTTTATGTTTTTTCACGAGCGCATCTTGCCTAAACTCTTTTGAATCAACTGCAAAACTACCGGGAAGCTAACTAGATGCACCGTCATGCTCCTCTGACTCGACTTCATAACGAAACAAGATGCGCGTTGTGGGCAGATCACTTAAACAGACGCACCTGGCATCGCAGCAGACGAAACTTTAGTGTTTCTCACTTGATACTGTACTGTTAGTTCTATAAATAGATAATGCCTACTTTCCAGATAAAAACATGCATGTTCGTCTTCAAGTGTTGTAAAAAATAATTCATTGAATCTTTATGCCAAATCTGGAATGCAATTACCGAGCATTGCATACTCTGGTAATTCAATTTGCCCAGGTTTCACTTTTGCCTCCTGGTCACAAAATCATTTGCAATAAAGTTGTACAAATGAATACAGCAAGTTTCAACTAAATATAGCATCATAACACTTTGTTTTACGCTTGTAAAAAAAAAAAGCATTTTGAATCTCAGGAACGTAATCCATTCGAAGTGGATCCGAAGCCTGTCTTTCCCATAGATACCATGGGGGTACAAGCCCCGCTGAAGGAGCTCACCTAGACACTAGCGCCAGATTCCCCTCCGGGTATTATTGTACTATGAAACTCGACGTCCGATTGTGTTCTGTGGCAAAGCCAGCTGTAAATTACGCCTGAAATTATAGAACGTCACCGCGTCGTCTCCCAGCGCGGGCAGGCCGATGGGATTGCACCGTGTTCCATTGTTGATTTACGCAATGCCGCTGTGGCATGCACTGTGTGTAGCCGGCCTAGCCAAACATGCGGCAATGCATGCGTGGTGCCCAGACGAGCGTACGGCACCACACGAATGAACAGAAAATGCCACCGGTGTTGCCAGCCGAAAATGCCACATGTTTTAGCACGAGAACCATTAGTCTTCACTTTTCCTCGTCTCCTTGTCGTCCTAGTTTTCTTCTACGCAGTGTACCTCCATCATAAAGCACCAACTGGCTCCAATTGTCCACTTTGAGTAGACATGCTCTTTTGTCAGTTCGTAGCTTACCTTCCGACTTTTGCACCACCAAGAAACTACAACACAATTGAAAAAGAAAAAAATGCTGCCTTTGCAAAAGCTTGCACACAACCCGACACTCACCAGTGCCAAACTTTAGAGCAGCCATCTTCTGCTCCATTGCTTTTTCAAAGAGCTGTAGCAGAAACACCTTATCCTTCCCTTCCTGTTTAAAAGAAAAAAAAAAAGGTGAATAATATCTTCAGTCTTGGGTAATTATAAGTTTCAGTAGTCATCGAAGTCGTACAATTTGCGCGACAGCTGAGCAGACTCCCTTCACAAGAAAGTTCAAGGCTTTCAAATATTTACATGGGCAGTTTCTCTTTATTTCGCACAACTAAAGAGTAATTAGTCTTGATATAGCATCAAACCCACCGAATTTTCAAGGAAACAACTCACTTAAAGGGCCACTCACCAGGACTGAATTTTAGTTAGACAGTGGAAGTTGTTGGGTGTCCGATGAGGAACAATTTGCCACAAAAATTTTTCGTAATCGGTTCATCACGAGCGGAGAAAACAAGTTTTTTGAAGCGGCGCGAAACGAGGATGAAAGGAGGCAAGCTCGAAACCCTTGCCGCTCCTCCGCATAGCCTTTGCAAGCCAAATCTCTTTCCCACCCTCTCCAGCATCCGACCATGAGGTGATGTGCAAATAACGTGCCCAAACAAGTCCAACCCTTGAGCATGTGAGCAGCGTTTTTTTGTTGACCAGCATTATTTTGTGGTCTTCTGCCTGTTTCTGCGGGATTGTTTGGAAACGCTGGCTTAGACGCGATAGAGTAGATGAGCACAATGAGTGCGCGACCGCATAGGAGTGTTCCACGGCGGTCGTTTGTTCTATGCGCTGACCGCGGGGACACGAACGCATGCGAAATACCGACACATTGGCCCCGCATCTCGTAGCATTTCACGGGAAAAAAATGAAAGAAAAACGCGCACAATTTTTATTGCGTCTCAGTATTGATTTCGTTTTATTAATTGCTTGAAGCAACACATACATAAACAACGCATGTTGCGTTAAATAATTTTTGCCATGTCACGTGGTATACTGTTGACAACGTGAGAGCAGAGTCGTATACGTAGAAGACCAATGTCTTGCATAGCTGCGTATGTAGGGCCATTCCTACGCCCACGTCATGCCCCCATTCTCCAGGCGTGCGCCGGTAGAGGGAAGAGGGAGCAGCGTTCATCTTGTAATTTGACCATTTCCGCTGCACGTAGCGTTGAAATTTTGGCAGACGTGATGATGAACGCGTCTACGCATTGCGCTTGTCAGCTGAAAATTGTCAAACCTGGTGAGTGGCCCTTTAAGGCTTCTTCATGGCCTCTAAGCAAACTTACATATGTCCAGATCTGTGCACGTGTAAGCACGGACATCGTAAGACTGCAAATTTACGTGCATGACTTTGCATGCCTAGGCATAAGACTGTGGTACAATCCTGCATGAAAACCTATACATATTGATACTACTGTCCAGCGGTAAGACAACACACATCTTCAAGTAATACTTCCAATGTGTAGACGTAAGAATGTAATACAAGTCTACGTAAATCTATAAAACAAGACTGTAGTACAGAAATCTCGACTAAAATTTTTTTCATATTGAAGTAAGATTGTAGTGAAAGTTTGCATATAAGTCTACACGTGAACAACTTCAATTAAATAAAAAGAGAGAGTAGTATGCAAGGACCTATTGGCATAGGTCTGGGAAAAAAATTGGAGCTCACTCGGACTCACTTAACGAATATAATCAGGGCTCCCTTGGACAAAAATTTTCCTCCCCGGATTCAACCAGAGTCAAGCTCGCCAAAAAATTACTCCCCTCAACTCACTCAGACTCACATTAACGGACAGTCCGAGCGAGTGGACTCATGAGTGAGTTTGCCGACCTGTGCCAGTTTCTAAAATAAATACAGGGCCACCGAAAAGTGCACATACCATAATGAGCTGCTCACGGAGCAGAGACACCATCTCGGCATGGGCACGGGCCAGGGCTCGCATGTAGTAAACACCCAGGCTGCGTGCAAACAAATACACACACACGTGGGTTCCGTTAACTTCTCTCAGCTGTGAAAGTGCAGACTTGGTCTGTCTAAACACAAGGGAGTTACATGCACGTCCACGGCAACGCTTCACAAACTGTGCACCCATCTCAGCATCATGCATCCCTTGAATAAAGGAAATGACATGCCATCATAAAATTAGTTCTTATTTTTTTGCACAAGTGAGTCAAAGCCCTCCTAATGCTAAAGGAGGGAAAAGAGCAAGTGTCGCGGTGTTTCGAATAACTTACACTAAATCTTGTTACAACGATGTCAAGGAGGGAGTCGAAATTGCAAAGTGAAGTACTTCTTTATACTGAACATTTATTTACAGCGAAGTTCATTATATTAAGGATCAACAGTACTCTACAACTTCATGCTGATAGAACGCCATGTAGTATAACCACAATTTAGCGAAAAGTGTTTATCCACAATTCTATTACAACAAATTATTACTGCAGTCGCAAAGAAAGGCTGAGTGACTTGCCATTTTCGAAAATGCATAAATCAAAACTAGATTTGTGCAAATGCTAAAACACTTCGAATAAATATTATATGATTTCGCATCGTTTCAAACTTAAATTAGTGAAAACTTCGACATATTCTAAATGAGAAAGTATTGACAAATCCACATATAACCTCCTGCAAAGCTAGTTTCACTGCATCATAAGAAGCTATGCCGTGAATACAGCCAATCAGAAAAAGTGCGCACTAAAACAAAGCCTCACTTAAACGTTGAATGAACCCTCACACCCTTATCGTATTTCACTTTCCTTGCCTTGTCCTAGTGTGATCTTGAGCTCATTCTTATCATGCCTAACAAAGAAAAAGGAGCTCTCAGGTTTTCTTATCTCCATTCATTCATAGCGGCCGTCTCGCTCTGGCAGACTTGGTGTCTTCAAGTAGTACGCGAGGGATTATTGGTCAGCAGCCAGCTCGTAATAAGTTCACGTGCTAAGTAATGCAAAACAGAGAGAAAACGTGTTGCACACTCGTCCTGGCTACAGGTGGCACTGACTGACGCTCTCACGTTGAATGCACACACATACCTTATAAAGCGGACAGAGGATAGCTGCCGTGATATCTCAGTTGGTAGAGCATCGGACACATTATTCAAAGGTCGCAGGTTCGGTCCCTGCTAGCTGAAAGTTATCCTTCCGTCCACTTTTCTTTCTACACATTTACCTTACACTTACTAATGATAAAATCTCCTACACTTTCCTTGGCATCATTGTCTGTTCTCGTGAATAATATTAAACTGTCCTGTTGCGACACCTCACCTGAGCAGCACAATGCCGAGGAAGAAAGAGAAGGGAGATAGCAGGTACTGGAACACACGGCTGGTCTCCGTCTGCTCCGCAGTGGACCACCCTTCAAGGTCAAACAGGGCCAGGAAGGCTGTGTATGTCGTCTCCAGCCCTTTGAACGGACCACACACCTTCGACGGTTGGATGCTGCATGCCCAGCCCAAGAGAGCATGTCATGCATTGTGTGCAGTCTTACACAGGCGGCCATACTTGACAATTTGGCAATAGCCACGTAATCCCGAGAAAAGAAGCAAATGTCAAATACATAAGGATAGCCACTTTGTGAGTCTTCTACTATACGTGAACAACCACTTAACCAAGCAAATCAAACCAGTTCTAGAATCTGAACAATCTGTGAAATATGTAGCAGACAGAACAGTCGACTCAGACTTTAGAATTCAGACAGACGTTTAATAGCGTCCGCATAAACTCGGAACGTAAAGATTGTAGTGTACACGTATCCCGAAGAAGTACGACCACTAGCACGGGTTCAGTCTTATTGAGCCGCAGTGCACGCGTTCACCGTCGCCGTGGTGAGAACACGGTACTGCTCAAGGTCGCAACACTTTACTGCCTGCGGTAAGACGAAAAACGCAGTACAAAGCCCGTAGAAACAGGGGCGCCGGGAAATCAAATGAGCTTATCCACACCCAGGGTGAGAAGTACAACACAAGGTGCCGCAAGCACGTCTCTGTGAGCAAAAGTGATTCACGGGGACACTGGGACAAAACGGCCCGGTCGCTCTAGCGACGGCAAAAACTCCGCTCGCGTTCGCTTTTGAGAGGTACGGGTTGGCGTAGTTTGACCCTACACTAGGAGACCGCGCCGCTCTTCGGCCTAGCATTCGGAGGGGGGGGGGGCAACAAAAGGTATGCGTTCGCAGTGGGCGCAAGACGCCGTTGACGAAGTCCAAACGAGCTCCAAACAAAGGGAGCCGACGGACGGAAAAAAAATGCGTGCTTACCCCATGTCGTCCCGGAGAGCTTCTCTGCCACTTCTGACGCGCGTGAAATGTCCCGAGAGACTTTGCGCACGGCGCCACAGTCGACATCTGCTAGCGGGTGAGAGGGGTTAAACGTCACTCCCCGCTCCCCCAGTGCGGCAGACCGCGGAGAAGGGGAGTCATGTTGGGACATGAGAACAGAGAAAGAGGCGGCAAAGCCCGCGCAAAGGCGGCCGGCTAGCCTCAATACCCACAAGATGGCTTCCTCTTCTTCCTAGAACAAGCTCAGAAGCTCGTTGGCATGCAGTTTCTCTTATTCTTCAAGTGGGATAAGCGCGGTAAATTCAACACAATCAATGCAAATTTGATACAAGGCAGTGGAACATCACTGCATCTGCAATGCTCTTCGTATTAATCAATAGGCACGAACCCAACAAAACATCCCAGTAGTTTAATTAGAGAGGTGCACTCAAATGTCATTATAACAGTCCTATCTGCCTTGTAAAAGTAAAAATACTTTGTTTTATGTGAAAATTTCTTATAAACTATATTTTGTAACATTCTATCTACAGCCAAGCTATTCTTCACTTACTTCGTTATAACCGATAATTCATTATATCTGAATCGGTTATATCGGCATTTGAGTGTATAACTAGGCTCATGATGGTCATCTTACGATCGATAGTTTTTGGCTCTCGTTTATTCTTCAATATTTTCTCAGATGCTGTGTTTGTCTTCCAAGGATTCGTTGGAATAAACTAGTCATTTACAACCCAAGAAAACATAACTGTGCCTGCCCTTCATCTGTGAAAAAGTAATTCTAGATGGTTCACTGGAAGTGCTCTTTCTTAGCTAATGTAAGTACAGTAGAAATTTGACCACACAATTACAGTTGATCCAAATTTTTATATATGAATTTCAAGGTTGTTTCGGTGCGAACTACGTTATATTAGATCCACACTGATTCAGGGTTATACGAATAATTTGTCAAGCCACTGCAGATAATACTGCCACATTCCTTATTTAGGTTTTGTTATCAATCCGTTACACTGTTAGTAATTCTCAGCACACACCATGCCTACAATGTTTGAAAAGCTTCAGGACTGTAGTAGATTGTTTAGCTGAAATCATTCCCACTTCATGAAAATGACAGATTATCCTGAAACCTACGTGGCCATTAGCGCTAATGCTAGAATATTGGATAGCACATGTATAAACGCCGACGTGTCTCCCTCGTTGACAGTTTTTTCGACGGCTGACACTCTTTTCACTGCTGCCAGTGCCTTGTTGTGATCTGACTTTACTTTTACGTGGCCGCTGGTTCGGCCAAATTAGTAATTTCATCTGACCATCCAGTCTGCTCCCTTCGTCCGCATCACGACCCTAAGACAATAGAAATGTGCGACTGACCGCTGCACGCAAGTGGCATGTGAGAGGAAGGCCTGTTCACACCTGGCCTTGAAGAAAGCGAATGCAGTACCACTCACCCAAATTTTCCTCGTTTAGCCACCTAAGGTGCTGGAAAACCATGCTGCCATGAGAAAATCAGTCGGAGACCAATTTGTTTTGCCACGTGAAAGCGGATCACATTATCTTCATTGTTTTGGCCGCACAAGCTCAAACCACACGCTGTAAACAATTGGCCGCAATTTGAACATGGCAGAAAAGTTGTCTGCGGAGGCTCGCATTGGTTCAATGGCAACAAAGCTGATGGCCTCGACAAGGACGCGTTCATCAAAAGTTTGGTTTGGATTTCAATCACTGAGAACACAGGAAGTAGAAGACAGTGCTGCAGCAGTGAACCAGCATGCCCCAAGGTGCCTCCCCTTTCGCAGCCAGCTAAATCCACCACCGCTGCTACTGCGCCCATTCGTGTTGTTTCTGCTGGCATATCTCTAGAGACAACATTTGAAAAGGTGCAAACTGTTAGGTTTATGCGAATAGTGAATTTTAGACGTTTCAAGCAACTGGAAATTTTGGCGGAATAATTTCCAATCGAATTCAAATAGAATATATATTGCATAGTATAAAGAAATAGGAGCATATTTGTCATGACCAAGTTAACCTGTACAATATTTTTTAAAACTTGAAACAAGGCCTCTGAAATGTCATTTTCTTTGAATAGTAGTAGGATTTGACTTTCCTAAGAATGCAAGTGATAGCCTGTAAAATGTTATATTTTAACGAGCTTTTATACTGGAAAAATGAATAAATGTGAGGGTAATAGCTTTATTTAACCTTGAAGTGGGGCTTTGCGGCAGTGCCAATTTCTCCTAGATACAGTCGAATCTCATTATTTCGAACACGCTTAATTTGAACTTCCGGTTAATTCGAACTCACGATGAGATCCCGTCAAAGCTATGTGTATTCCAATGGGCGAAAATGCCCAGTAATTCGAACGCCCAAGCAAATCCGACGGTTAATTCGAACACTGTGCTCTGAAAATGCTCTCAGCACCTCGCCCGATCCCGCGGGGGCACCTGCGACACCTCAACCCTGCCCGCGAAAGAAATGAAAAGGAACGAAAAGGCTGCGGTGGAATGCCTGCTCTCTCTCAAATGCTGATCTGCGACGCGCCCGTGTGACGCTTCTTCCTTTTTCCATCCCTGCCACGTAAACACCCTCCTCCTTCCAACGCTGCGCGCGAAGAGAGAGGAAAAAAAAAAAAAAAAGAAAGCCCTTGCTGGGTTGAATGAATGTATGGTTAAAGAAAAGGAAAAAGGCACTATCTTCTGCAGCCCTTGCCCCTTGCAGGAGCACGGCTCTGCGCCTTGAGGGGGGGGGGGTCTCTCACGCGCCCATGCCATGCTTCCCCGTTTCCTTTCCCTGCCACATAACCCTTCTCTTTTCAACGATGTGCGCGAAGAGAGCAAAAAAAAAAAAAAAAGCTGCCATGGAGTGTTGGTTTTTTCTCAAATACCAATCTGTTTCTCTGCGCGTGGAGACGCTCCTCCTTTTTTGTCACGTGCTGGCCAAGCTGGGGCTGCGTATCAAAGAGCGGGAGGCTCCGCTCTTTGTTACGCCGCTCCGCCGGCGCTGGACATTTCCGCGCGCAACTTCTCTTGCCAGGAGAATTCTGAAGCCGAAGTAGAAATGCTTTGCAAGCTGCGTGCGAAATTGATTGACTCGCTGCAAAGCAAACTTGTACAGATGTGCATCACCGCTTACTTCAATTAATAATGGGTGTTCTGTGATTTATGAAGAAATGTAAGTCTTCTGAAACTTCCCCCCCGTGTGTTAGCTCAATGCACATGCGCCACTGCATGGAGAGCCCTCCGTTTATTTAGCTTTCATTAATTCAAACAAATTTTCGGGCCCCTTCGAGTTCGAATTGTCGAGATTTGACTGTACATTTTTTCACGGCTCAGCACTATACTATTGCAATGAAACCACTTTTAAAAAACTTACATGCAAACTATTATACGCCTGCACAGGTGCTTTCACGACTTATCACCCCTCTACTGCAGTGAAACCCTCTTTAGAAAATGTTGTATGCAGACTAATACGCACTTATTTGTTCATCTCGAATAATTCGCAATTTTCAATAACCTGAATTCGGTTTTAGCAAATTTGAGTATCGCATTATCTATTCAAATATTCGCACAAGCCTACAAACAGTTTCTTTTCAGTGCTCTGCATGCATAACTAGAACTCCACGAATTTTAATGCTTCGTGAATGGGCAAAATGGAGTGATTTCTCAAGTGCCAAAGGCGGCGGCGGCATGTTTGTACGAGGGGCAGAATGAATGTGAACATTTTTAATGTGTGTGGGCATGGTTTGCTGGCCACTCTGGCATTTTTTTCATTTTCCCTTTGTTTCTGAAATGTGAATGCTCCAGGACCATTTTTTTTTCTTTTCGTGTTGACTTAAGAATGCGGTTTTCCGACTGTTCAGGCAACAAAGCGACTGAATTTGCAGTGAGTTTGGCCACTTTCTTTCCCTTTGAGGCCAAGTGTGAATGGGTCTTAAGAACCAGCATTATGACTGAAGAGACCACAGCATGGTTTTATTCCTTTCAGGCAGCTTGAGAGACAACAAAGGTATAAAGTTCAAAAGAACACCATGGTTTTTTCAGCAACAAGTTGTTAACCCCAATAAAGTTCTTGTTCGTATTTATTATCAGCTTTAACTTGCTTTGGTTCATACGAATTCGGGATGAAAAGAATATTTTGCATGCTCCCTACGAATTCGTATCATCAAGACTCAACTGTGCCGGGCATATTAAGCACCAACATTACTTTTGGCTGAGCAGCAGTGTCGGAAATCTTTGGCCAAATTTACCATCACGTTCAAGTGCTCTATCTAGAGCCATCGACACATACACGTGTCTGTATAGGAAAGTCAACTATCTGAAACACTGAGCAAGTGTTTGATGTCATGAAAATGACAAAGTGGTATTGAATGAAGCATTTATGCAAATTCGATGTAAAAGGGACAGCGACGATTGTGCGTGAAGTAAAATTTTTTTTCTTAACTTATACTCAATTGCATGATAAAACCTATAAGATGAAGCATTTCATGAAATTCCAAGCTTCTCTTTCAATCAATGCTATATCACTACCTCCATTATCGCAAGTTGTTCATTAAATTGTTGCTTAGGTTACTTACAAGATCTTAAAGTTTACTTATTTATTAAAGTGCACAAGTGATATTACCTCATATCTAGGTGATATGATTACACTACAGCAGTAGAATATTCAATGAAATAAAGAATAGAAAATAAATATGTCAACTTACTTCGTAGTGCCAAAGCATTTGTTACATCCAAGTTTGCTACACAATACTACAACTGTTTTCCTGTTGAATGAATTCTCATTTTTGAAAAATACATGCAACCCAGCATCCTTTGTATGATAAGCAATCACTGTAGAAGTAGATTTCTATGTGAACACCAATTTGTTGAAATATGTGGGAAGGGCCATAGAGTATCTGAAAATTAACTAGAGGGGACTCCGGCACTGCAATCGTTCAGCCACCATGGGAATGAAGAGTAGTACACTCAATCCTTGATGTAACAAACACAGATAGAATGAAATATCGGTTATAACGAAGTAAATGAAAAATAGCCTTGCAATAGATACAGCGCTAGGAATGACCTTTATAATAAACTTACATATATAATGAACTTTTCTTCTTTCTAGATGTACCTCTATTGTAATGAGATTTGAGGGCACACAAATTTGCTTAACCGTCGTGCTTGTCGGTTTCAAATGCACTTGTGTCTTTGTTTAGCTGTGTTTCGTTTTTGTTTTTTCTAATAAAAATAATGAACAGCTGTGAACTTCATGACTGGATTTGAATTGGTGGGCCTAAAGAGATCAAGGCGGTGAAGCGCAACTGTTGAACATTCACCGCTTGTCGCCTCGTGACAAAGCAGCTTCATGACACACGAAGCCAAAACGGAGCTCATGAAGACTAGACAAATCAATGCACTGCCCACCATTCCCATGCAGGCTGAAGTGCCACGTGTTACAGCTCCCATAGAAACTAGTGCCAGAGTTCCCTCTAGTGTATTTATGGGAAACTCCATGGAAACTCCGTACCTGAGCAGGGAGTATCCCAGGGCGCCCGTGGCCAGCACAAAGCTGAGGAAGGTGAGAGCCAGGAAGACGGTCTGGGCGTGCACAGCTCGCCAGGGCCGCACCGATGGCTGCGTGCACATGACGCTCACCCGCTTGACGTAGAATGTCAGCACCAGCTTGACACAGCCCACCAAGGGGAGCAGCGGGCAGTAGAACATGCCCGCCCTGCGTTATTTGAAAGCACGAACGACAAGAAATATTACCGAAGGAAAGTGTAAATTTAACGGTTAGTTTTTTATTTTTTAGGCACAATATTAATGAGAGCTGACGAGCAACAATGCCAAAGAAAGTATAGTGAATGTCATTGGAAGTAATTGTAATGAAAATATGAAGAAATCGCTCATAAGTTATCTTTTCGTTCCCTTTTACATTATTAGTTAAGATAACATCCTTTACCCTTTCCTTGACATTATTGTCTGTGAATTCTCATTAACAAAATTATCAAATATTACTAAAAACGAAAAATTTCAATGACTCGTGTTTCGTTAAGCACAGCAATAATTAGAGCTGACAGACGAGAAAGCCAAAAAAAGTATAGGGGATGTTACTTCTTGTAATTGTGATTAGTGTGAAGAAAGTGAAGTGAATGAAAAGATAAGTTGCCCAGATACATTATTCGAAGCTCAAGGGTTTGGTCCTTGCCAGTGGCAAGTTATCTTTCTGTCCACTTCACTTTCTTCACATTTACACCATAATGGCTACAAATAACATTCCCTATACTTTCTTTGGCTTTCTCGTCTGTCAGTCCTAATAAGACAATCGTGACATATTTAATAGCAGTGTATGAATAGAAACATTAAATATTTTGATTGGATTATTTCGATATTAGATACCACTCATAAGGCCCTTTTAACAATTTGAAATATTCCAACACCATAAAATTTTATAATATGCACTGAAACAAGCACAAAGGATCGCATGTCTGCGCTAAATATAGCAAAATTTCATGCGCAAGAAAACTAGTTTCAGTCTGCACATATCACAGAAACTGTTGGCACATGTACAAAACGTGCTTAGAAATGCAAAACAACGCCCTTAAAGGTAAAGGCTGGGGTATGGTAACACTACTTCCTGTCACTTCTCATTTCTTTTTGATCATGTAACTTTATAGACTGCCGGAGGGAGATTACAGTACAATTTAATTGATACATTTCTGAAAAAAAAAAAAAGCAATGCAGAAAATAAACATACGATCTGGGAAAACTAAAGAGCTGAATCATAAGATCCAAACATGGTTAATTTAGTTTTCGCGACTGCGAGTGTAGGTGTTCGGAGATCGTATTAATGGGACCCTGAAACGGTTTTCAAATTTTTGTAAGCATTCACGCTACAGCATCATCAAACCATTTGCACCATACATTTAGCGACATGCCATGTACCAAAGTTGCTATGGATGATTGTATCATACCTTTCTGACCTCTGTCCTGCCTTCTGAACTCATGAGACACCCTGGCATCACTAGCAGTCGCAGAGCTCTCATTAGCGCACTCGATGATTGGAGCTTCGGCCACTCTAGACCCCCCGAGACTGTATGCTGACAGCTTGCGCGCTATCTCGGAGGCCATCAGACAATGCGCCCGGCAGCATACACAACGTCTGGCTACAAAAATGAACATCGTAGTGTGGTTCATATATGCTCCCACAGGTGCGGCCACCCTACCAGCCGATCTTACTTCTGCGCATTTCACAGCCAATTAGATCAGCAGCCTCAGTGACGTTGCGTTACCAGAGCACGTCATTTTGTACAGGGTGCGGTTGAAAATTCATTTGATGGGGTCGCAGTCATCTGCAGTGATTCGCAGCTTTAAAGCACTGTAGCAAGTTACACAGTTTTTGCAGAGAGCTCAAATTGGTCTGTAAATGAGCCTTAGGACTTGGTCTACTGGCCCAATGTATTTGTACAAGATCGCCAAAACCGTTTCAGGATCCCTTTATAAGCAGGAACATATAAATCAGGGAATTGGTAAAGTGAGCACACAGTGTGTGGTTACAGTGCTGCTCAGACCACAGACCACCAGAATATGACAAGTAGTGATTACTACAGAGCAGAATCACTGAAGTACTTTTAAGGTTGCCCTTCAAGTGGCCATGGCCAAAAAAAGAGGAAAAAGGGGAAGGCAATAGTGCAAGGGAGCACCCATCAACCCTGTCATGAGTTCTCCACACGAAAACGACAGCAGCAGCTGAGAGCATGGGTGGCCAGTGTTCATAACCCTGTAGGTAATCTATGGCAAAGGCCAAGCCAGACGAGATGGCTGATTACCATGCTCAGTGTTCCCACAACCTTAGTCTTAGCAGTTGTTTTAACTCAAGAGTTTTGGAAAGGCCTTGTAGTGAGGGGCAATGCAACGCAGATTCAGCAGGTGTGACAAATTTAGTTTGGAAAATACATTTCAGTGATTCTCAAAGCTTGCACTGCTGGGAGCTCCCCATTCCCAATCCAATGCTCTCAATTTGGGCTAGACTGGTCATCCAGTTTGCGAATTACAACATTTCGAATCACAGATCCTACAGTAATAAGTGAGCGAATCAACAAACAAAAAGGTAACTATGGAGGGAACTTTGTATAGGCTTTGATTGATATGTGGGGTTTAACGTCCCAAAACCACCGTATGATTATGAGAGATGCCGTAGTGGAGGGCTCCGGAAATTTCGACCACCTGGGGTTATTTAACGTGCACCCAAATTAGAGCACACGGGCCTACAGCATTTTCGCCTCCATCGAAAATGCAGCCGCTGCAGCTGGAATTCGATACCGCAACCTGTGGGTCAGCAGCCGAGTACTTAGCCATTAGACCACCGCGGCGAGGCCTCATATAGGCTTGGTCGTTGTTTATCATACTCGTGCAAGAAGGACAGAAAGGCATCTCTTTGATGATGATGGTCTGCTTCTGGCCAATCGCATGATTTAAAACTGAACATCCATAAACCGAACATGCACAGAATTTTGGCCCATAAGTGACCAGAGAATAGCAGACTTAATATAAAAAAAAAAATCTATGGTATTAAATGCCAAAACCATAATATGATTACAAGAGAAAACACGCTGTAGTGGAGGACTCTAGAAATTTTGACCATCTGCTGTTCTTAAACACACACTGAAATTGCACGATACACAAGCCTTTACCAACTCGCCTCCATTGAAATGCAACCGTCGTGGCCAGGATCGAAACCACGACCTTTGGGTCAGCAACCAAGCACCTTAGTCGCTGTTCCACCAATGTGGACAGAATGGTGGACTCACCAGACGAGTGTCTGGGTGTAGATGAGATCCAGGGTGTTGTGCGCGATGTCCAGCTCGGGGGGCCCAACGCGTGGCGTTATGTGCTTGTAGACGACTGAGCGCAGGGACTCGCCCACACCAGTTGTCAGCAGCAGGACGAATGCAGTGTCCACCACCAGAAGCCGGTACAGCTCCTGGCCGAGCCGACTCTCCCAGCACTTGTCCTCGCGCTGAAAGAAGCAACGACGTGTATCGTGCAAAAATGGTATACAGTCAAGCCCACATATAACGGCCCCACTTAAAACAAACTTTCGCTTAAAACGAACAATCTCCGCGTGACCGCCAAAATATACATTGGTTCAATGACACAAAATCGCACTTACATCGAACGTCTCCGAGCGCCACTGATCTGTTACAGCGAACAGAGTCAGCAGTCTGCCGACTTCCCGGGAAACCAACTTCAACCACCGATCAGGCATCGGCGAGGTGCCCATACATTCTTATTGTTAAACACCGATTCTGCCTCCGCACCCCTCTAATTGCTGCTCTCCCCAACCACTTTTTGTTATGCAACCCTCCAACCTTTGTTCCCCCCGCTCCTATAAGCACCCCGCATCACCAGACGAGGCCCGTGTTTTCACACTGCCACCGATCTTTCGAAGACTGGTCGGCCACGTACCCTGTTTTTGATCGCTGGTACTGTCGTTCGCGTCGCCGGCCTGGAGTGACCAGACCATTTGCCAACATCGTTGGCCACCGACTGTATCCGATAGCCTGCGTCTAGTGCAAGCGCGTACGCAACCCCACCGACTCGTTTGCGATTCTTTTCGTGTTTAGGACTTGTTCTCGCTCACTTCGCACTCAACTCAGCATGCCTTCCGGGCGCGTGCGGAAGCGCGAAAACGGCTGTTAATTTGCGCGGAATGAATCGCTAAATATCGAAGTTCGTGAGGCCATGCAAACCCGCCGGCGCAACAAAACGATTTTTTGATCACGGCCGCCGATTCTTCGAACGCCGTCGCGCCCACCGAACGAGGCGGCCATGCTTTGACTTCTGCGCGAGCTGGCACTCTTTTCAAGTTTTTTTACGTGAGAGTTTCGCGGACCTTTCAAGCAAGCTACCCAACCTGCCTCCTTCCCGTGTGTTTTGGTTTTCAAGGTCGCCCTCTCTTTATCGCACGGAGAAAGGAATCTTTCGTTCCCCCATGCTTTATGGCAACTTCTTGCCCTTCTCTCGCAAGTCTGATCTCCTCTCTTAATCACAACCCCTTCGCCCGTCTCCACCACTCTGCGACGCCCGCCACTCTGGCTCGAATTAGTTTCGTTTTCCGACTGGAAACGCGCCCAGAGCTGTTCCACACGTGTGCGCGTCTTGCTCGCTTTTGGTGTGTGTGTGTGTGTGGTCATGGTGGCCGGCGGGAGGACTAGCACGCTTTTTCGTGCCGCTCAACAAAACGTCGAAAGTGTGACCGCTTCGCTTGAGCATAATCCGCGTGTTAGGTGCCACATTGCGGCGCGCTTGCTCATAGCTGTTGACCACCTGGCAGCCAACTTGCCGCTTCGGGCGTCCTGGTATTCAGCTGTGGAGATGGTGAATATTTCGTGGGCGGCGGTGACGACTACATGTCCGCGAAACTATTTTCGCGAGGCCGACTTCGTCGATCGTCGGGCCCGATGCCGAGCCTGAAGCTTCCGAACAGGACCACTGCGGCGGCGATTTGTGGCAGCGCGTCGTCGACTCCGACCTGGGAGAGCAGGTGGAAATCTGTTGCGATGGTTCAATTACGACCGATGATGATGCCGACACTGCGGAACCGTGTACGAATTGGGGCATTGTGAATGAAGTACATGGCGAGAGCGACTTGGAGGAATCTGATTGCGAGAACGACGAAGCTTTGGAGCCAGCGCCTCATGCAGCTTATGCCACGGGCCTCAACGAAGGAGCAGCCTGCCGTTTTAAATGAACGCGAGACTGCCCTTATCATTTCTAATCTTCGAAACACGTGCATCACGGACTTTTTGGTGCAAAAAAAGTTTGTGTTTTCACTCGCAACTTTTTTAAAAGCTGTGTTTCATTTACTACGAACTTCGGGATACAGCGAACGGATGCCGCGTCACGCTCAGGTTCGTTATAAGCGGTCTTGACTGTATATTGGTAGCCACAAGATCGGTGGCAGTCTTAAACAAGCACACACCGCAAACATTTGTAGGTACAGTTGGAAAAAATGTAAAAAGGAACACTGAGACAACAGCATTTCTTGTAACGTGAACACGATTATGATGCAAGGATCGACTTTTGGTAGCAAAAATCTTGAAAAACCACTCTTGTTAAACTCGAATAAACAGAGCAGCTTAAAAAAGCCACAGTAGATGAACGTGACCGTCAAATATAACCTATTAGCACATGTCTTAAAGTTTCTTCAAATATTTAGATTTAAAGATACATCAGATGCTCAGCGACACGTCAGTATTTCCTCAGTTTAAAGCGTGCTGACGTGCTACTTGTAGCATTTCGCTTCTGTTCCACTCTGGACAAGCAACTCCCTTCCAGAAAAAAACAGTGCATGAAGCAATAGTTTTTCATACTTATTTGTAAGCTTCAGGTTTCTGTTCCAATTCAAGTTCACATTGGTGCAATTGTTCTGTGAACCCTGCTTTAGCTACTCTTTTAAGAATTCCGCCTGGTGTTTATTCTGCATAGCATTGGCTACTAAGTATATTACGGACAACCTATAAAATCACTACAATGTTTACCTCCAATCTAAACTCCTGTATCCCTCATTTTAAAAAACAAGAAAAAATACTTTTTATGTCTTTTTCAAACCTATAATAGCTCTTCATGATGTGCCATAAACTTCATGTTAAAAGACTGTCACATGCACTATTACAGTTTGTACAATCTTTCCCCTAAATATTCATGTTAAAGTGCTGCTTTTTATTTTCATCTTGTTTGCATACTGTGTATTGAGCAGCGTAATTATTTTTTACAATTCACACGCCTTCACTGGTTTAGCTTCCACAGTCAGACATGTGAATCCAGGGTAAAGCATCGTCGTGAGACATAAGAGTCTCCTTTTGCCTAACCTCAAGGACAAATTTCACATTGTGTATTTAAGTATGAAATAAACAAACTGAATTGAATTGAACTAAAAATCCTGTTACCCCCTCGTAGACCAATACTGAATATTGCCCGGCCAGGAATTTTCTTTTTTTTTGGGGGGGGGAGGGGAGGAGTCATCTGTTGAAAGCCTTGAAAAAAATCTATTTTCTATTGATGTCCCCAAAAGAACACACCTTCATCCAAATTTCAGGAGAGTGAAGGGGGGAGGGAACCCCAACCCCCCATGGCTACGGGCCCATGCCCTGTGTTGTTCTTTGTTCCATACTGTGATCCCATAACCTTCTTTAAAAATGTGATCAAAAAAGTTTAGACTCGCATAATTGGCACACATAATAAATAATCAGTCGATATTATCCCGAAATGAACGCATGCCTAAAACATGTATGAAATGAAACAGACTACTAAAGGGCCTTTTCGTGTCCCATGCAGCTTACTTATTAGGCAGCCTTATTGCACAAGCCCCACTGCCGTGTTGCAAAGCACATACGAAAGCATGAGCGTAGAGAGTACGCGGGCGCAGCAAAGTGGCATTTTAAAAGTATGTTTTGCCAAGTCAATGTGCACTGCAAGTGAAGCGTGTTGCTCACCTGTTTGGAGGCCAGCCAGAAGTACATGAGCACACCCAGGAGAACCATTTTGGCCAGGGTCACCCTGGGAAGGAAAAGCCGTCATAGGAGAAACTTTATAATATTCACCTAGTATGAGAGTCTGAATTATTGTGAGTCAACTGTACTTTGACAACCTAGATTTCTTCAATGTGCAACTAAATCTAATGAGCACATGAATGTTGTTGTATTTTGCGCTGCATCAAAATTCAGCCACTGTAAGTGTACATCAAAACTGCACCCTCGTGATTAGCAGAAAAAAAGCCATAGTTGCTTAGGTGGGTTCCATAGCGAACTCAGACAATAAAAGAAGGTAGAAGCGCGAACACGAATACACGAGATCAAGACAACACAGCATCACCATTTCTGTTGCCCTTGCGTCTGTGTTTGCACCCCTAGCTTCTTTGATTTATAACCCGCCAAAAAGGTCTAATGGCTATGGTGCTGGACTGCCGAAGCCCACATTTCAATGCAGGCAAAATGCTACAGGCTGATGTACTCAGACGTAGGGGTGTGTTGAAGCCCCAGGAGGTTAAAATTTCCAGAGCCCTTCGCAATGGCATGCCTCATAATAATATTGTGGTGATGGGGCGTAAAACCCTCATATTCAACTTCTTATGCGTGTTTTTATCATAAGGCGTTCCCAAATAACTCAACTTTCCGTGGTCCTGACCTTACCTGGTCAGGTTGAGGTACAGCCTGGTCTGGACCCGCTCGATGAACTCCAGCCGAGACAGGGCCAAGAACAGAGTGGGCAGCACAAAGCACAGCGTGCCCACCGTCAGGGACACCGTCATCTCGCCCAGCACAGGAACATCAGTCTGCACATGGGATTATAAGCATGCGCAGTGTTCAACATCAGTTCGAGGCACCACAGAATAGTGGCAACCTTTTCTTCTATTCTGTCCTGACTTTGGTTCCAGTCACACACACACACGCAAATAAGAAGAAAGAAGAAAAAAAAAAAACTTCACTAGCACAAGCTAGATGACTTATATTTAAAATACCAGAGTAATTACACTGTCTAACAACTGAAATTTATTGAACAACGTTGAAAACACAAGAAACCAATGTCATACACGCACAAAATTCTAGGCTATGTGGAAATGTTTGGCAAGCATGTATACCTCACAATCAAGCAAACAAATGGAAGCCTCAGGTATGCTGAAGCATCATGATAAATGGGGCTTGAGACTTATTTGTAAGCTTCAGGTTTCTGTTCCAATTCAAGTTCACATTGGTGCAATTGTTCTGTGAACCCTGCTTTAGCTACTCTTTTAAGAATTCCGCCTGGTGTTTATTCTGCATAGCATTGGCTACTAAGTATATTACGGACAACCTATAAAATCACTACAATGTTTACCTCCAATCTAAACTCCTGTATCCCTCATTTTAAAAAACAAGAAAAAATACTTTTTATGTCTTTTTCAAACCTATAATAGCTCTTCATGATGTGCCATAAACTTCATGTTAAAAGACTGTCACATGCACTATTACAGTTTGTACAATCTTTCCCCTAAATATTCATGTTAAAGTGCTGCTTTTTATTTTCATCTTGTTTGCATACTGTGTATTGAGCAGCGTAATTATTTTTTACAATTCACACGCCTTCACTGGTTTAGCTTCCACAGTCAGACATGTGAATCCAGGGTAAAGCATCGTCGTGAGACATAAGAGTCTCCTTTTGCCTAACCTCAAGGACAAATTTCACATTGTGTATTTAAGTATGAAATAAACAAACTGAATTGAATTGAACTAAAAATCCTGTTACCCCCTCGTAGACCAATACTGAATATTGCCCGGCCAGGAATTTTCTTTTTTTTTGGGGGGGGGAGGGGAGGAGTCATCTGTTGAAAGCCTTGAAAAAAATCTATTTTCTATTGATGTCCCCAAAAGAACACACCTTCATCCAAATTTCAGGAGAGTGAAGGGGGAAGGGAACCCCAACCCCCCATGGCTACGGGCCCATGCCCTGTGTTGTTCTCTGTTCCATACTGTGATCCCATAACCTTCTTTAAAAATGTGACCAAAAAAGTTTAGACTCGCATAATTGGCACACATAATGAATAATCAGTCGATATTATCCCGAAATGAACGCATGCCTAAAACATGTATGAAATGAAACAGACTACTAAAGGGCCTTTTCGTGTCCCATGCAGCTTACTTAATAGGCAGCCTTATTGCACAAGCCCCACTGCCGTGTTGCAAAGCACATACGAAAGCATGAGCGTAGCGAGTACGTGGGCGCAGCAAAGTGGCATTTTAAAAGTATGTTTTGCCAAGTCAACGTGCACTGCAAGTGAAGCGTGTTGCTCACCTGTTTGGAGGCCAGCCAGAAGTACATGAGCACACCCAGGAGAACCATTTTGGCCAGGGTCACCCTGGGAAGGAAAAGCCGTCATAGGAGAAACTTTATAATATTCACCTAGTATGAGAGTCTGAATTATTGTGAGTCAACTGTACTTTGACAACCTAGGTTTTTTCAATGTGCAACTAAATCTAATGAGCACATGAATGTTGTTGTATTTTGCGCTGCATCAAAATTCAGCCACTGTAAGTGTACATCAAAACTGCACCCTCGTGATTAGCAGAAAAAAAGCCATAGTTGCTTAGGTGGGTTCCATAGTGAACTCAGACAATAAAAGAAGGTAGAAGCACGAACACGAATACAAGAGATCAAGACAACACAGCATCACCATTTCTGTTGCCCTTGCGTCTGTGTTTGCACCCCCAGCTTCTTTGATTTATAACCCACCAAAGAGGTCTAATGGCTATGGTGCTGGACTGCCGAAGCCCACATTTCAATGCAGGCAAAATGCTACAGGCTCATGTACTCAGATGTAGGGGTGTGTTAAAGCCCCAGGAGGTCAAAATTTCCAGAACCCTTCGCAATGGCATGCCTCATAATAATATTGTGGTGATGGGGCATAAAACCCTTATATTCTACTTCTTATGCCTGATTTTATCATAAGGCGTTCCGAAATAACTCAACTTTCCGTGGTCCTGACCTTACCTGGTCAGGTTGAGGTACAGCCTGGTCTGGACCCGCTCGATGAACTCCAGCCGAGACAGGGCCAAGAATAGAGTGGGCAGCACAAAGCACAGCGTGCCCACCGTCAGGGACACCGTCATCTCGCCCAGCACAGGAACATCAGTCTGCACACGGGATTATAAGCATGCGCAGTGTTCGGCATCAGTCTGCAATTTATCAGGAGCAATATTTGCTATTTTTTAGAACTTTCTTGTGCTGACTATTGTTGCCTAAGCTTGCACAAAAATACAGCTTAGGCAACAATAGTAAGCACAAGAAAGTCTGCCAAAAATTAATTAATTGAGCCATTAAAAAAAGCAGATTTGAAAAGAGAAGCTTGAACTCCATAACTGGTGAAAAATTCGCTGAACTGTCACAAATATCCAAAGAAAAAGTTTTTCGAGAAGCATCTCCCCTTAAAAATCATTGCGCCATAGGCCCAATTATCATGCCATTGGCTGATTTGAGCATGACGAGCTCTAGAGTTACGGGAGCCCCTGTAAAACGCTGCGGCGCGTCTGTGTGACTGCACTGAGAATCCATGCGAATAAAAAAAAAATGAAAAAAAAAAACTGCTCAAGGTCACGAAGCGCCTGTGACATAACTTCTTTTTTCGTTCCCACCCTCCCTGCATAGCTCACAATGCTTTTATCGGGATGAAAGAAGAAAAAAAGTAATTGCAACGTGCGACAAATCTTTGTAACTTTGCTTGTACTGGATGTATTCTAAAGCTTTTGCGGCGGTCAACTAGGAGGCAATGAGATCCTTTAGTGAATTCATTCCACGACTAGTTGCAGAAGTGTTGCAAGGCTTATTTAACAGGAGTCTACTGTATGTTTCCATATTGCAGTACCTACCTTCTCTGAAACTGTTCCCCTTTAGGTATAAATGCTTTCAAGCTTGCCTTTGCTATCGTACAGTAGACTCGCGATGATTCAAGCTCTGATAATTTATACTTTCAATCAATTCAAACGAAATTCAATTTTTGATTGGCCTTCTATTTTTTCAAAGTATTCAAAAGCCTCTTATTTCAAACTCCATCATTGAGTTAATTCATACTTTCAGAGGTTACATACCAGAAACTATCTGCTACTGTCCCACTACTATTCGAAAATTTGGGAGATTGGGAGATGATTTAGACTCCAACCAAAAGTCTCTCAGTTCATACCCAAATCATCTCCCAGTTTCATACCCAACCAGACATACTTCTGTCGAATGTTTATATTGGAAAAATTGTGTGCTTATATAATCTTAACAGTCTAAAAATGAAAAATAGTGCCTCAGGCTTTCAGTGAAAAAGGCTTTGCTAGTAAACAAATGTTTGAAATGAAGCACAGGCAAGGTAAACCATGATGCTTCTCAACTGGTATAGAGAGCTTTGTGCTAAAGGCACATATAGCAAAGAAGCAGTTGGCCATTCACAATTTCTTTAAAAGGTTTGATCAGCAGTAAATGGCCAATGAACTTGTGGACCTTAGACGTTTGCTTTCTGTTCATTGCATGCAGTTAGAATTTAAGAACACTTAAAAAAATTCTAAATGTGATAAAATCAATGCTTTATTATAATGTGTGGTGTCAACTCACCCAGAGCCATACATATGAGAACTTCTGATAATTAAATGTTCTTGATAATTCAAACTAAATTCAGATATCCTTCCGAGTTTGAATAAAAGAGAGTTGATTGCAGTTCCATTTGCTGGGAAAATTTAGTGAAATTCTTTTTGAGTTATCGAAATCAGACCAGTAATTAAAGAAACAGTTTGAAGCGATTCCCATTTACCAAGAATATGTTGCGTGTTGAAGCAAACATTAATGAGCCCTTCAACCACCTAGAGGTCGGAGCATAGTGATGGCATTGCACCAGTGCATGAATCTACAAGGAGCTGTGAGAATATTTGGAAATGATGCCACAATACTGGAGTTGCACGTGTCTGATGATCGAAATGTGGCCCTCACTTGTTTCACCTTGTTTGTTTGCAATAGAAAATAGATACGCTGATGCACTGCTCACCTTTTAGTTTCCAATTGATATAGCATGTTGTCTTTGTCATACCATTTCTTGTCCATTGTTTGTGCTCAGTATCGATACGAATGATTACCCAATGCCACTATTGCAATCACGAGTTTGGCAGAGACCAGCTAAATGTACCATAAGACACCCAGCGCATATGCAAGCGTTGATGCCTACATGTACAGCGGAATGGAACCCGACAGGAAAACTTTAAGCCGTGGGAATCGAGCGCGCCTTCCCCTATGGTGCCGTGCTCCCCAGCTTCCGAGAGTGCTGGCCGCATGCGGCTCTAGCACTGGGAACATGGCCACTGTGGTTTCCCTCAGGTATTTTCGTTTGGTGCAAGCCGCGTGTTGGTTTTCCCTGCATGGAGATGCATGTCCGAACATGCCAAGACAACGCGCCTCCCCTTTACGTTACGCAATCACACGTCGCAGTGCTCCGCCGATCCTCATTGGCCGCCTATGACAGTCCCTCTCCCGGTAGCTTGAGTTTTCCCAGTGCCTGGCGCCACCAGGCCGATGCTCACAGGCCTGCACGAGAGGTAGGCGCGCTGCTTCAGCTGCTTGAGAGATAGATGCGCTGCTTCTCGTACACGTGCTCGGCTATGCCCATTGTGTAATAGTCCTAGCACCTGTCTGCAAGCGTACACTCAGTCGGTCTTGCGGAGTTCCCTACCGGCCCGCCAGCCTGTGATTGTTGCACTATGCTGTATCTTGGGTAAATAAGCCCATATTTGTTGACGACCTGCCTCGAGTGCCATCTCTGCGTCATGTCGGAGAATCGACGAACCCGGTCGTAGCGTCTTTGTGTGCGACGGCAGTGGAGAAAGTCGCGTCCCTGCCCAGTCGTTCCGTAGGGTAAGCCGTTAGCAAACCTATCTTTAAAGGGCCTAACAAATGAGATAAACGGTTGCTCGATACAACCGCATCATGTCAATACAAATCTGGCCACTGAAGCCACTGGCTCTGGTGTAAGCGTACGAACTAATGCTATGCTGACCCAGCACAACCCGAAGACTGTGAAAATAAGGAGCATGAGCATTCCGTAGCACTAAACTGTCACATTTAAATCGGCGAGCACTGTACACATGCACAACACGGAGCTATCACAATGACCGCGGCACATTCACCAGCACAATGGACAATCATCAAGTCGTACCTCGAGAGATTTCTTGGACAGCAGGTGGTACACGAGTGCGCCGGACCCCACCATGATGGCGATGATTACCAGGTTGATCGTGACACGGGCCAGGAACTTGCCTATCCTGATCCCCCATGTGGGCGGTGCCTCGACAGCTCGCCGTTCCATTGACAACAGCTCCTGCAAGGTCGACAATGTTGACACAATACTCATCAGGGAAGCAAGACTGTGCCCATAAACAAGTTGCAAGCCAAAAGAAGGAGAAGGACCAAACAATGACTTACAACGTCCTCATAGCTGCATTATGAGAAAAAAAAAACTGATAGGTCTTACACATTAAGTATTGTCGCACGGATACTTCTCTTTTAATGAACTTATATACAATACTTCCTCTCACATAACGCCCCTTTAACATGGGCACCAGTGAACGTCGTTGAATTCTCTCGTCGTTACGTCAACGGATATGCATATCCTGTCACAGTCTCCTTTACGACAAAGAAGCGAAACAAAGAGTTTCGCAAAGGGAGTTCGACAACCTCCATTAGCAGTGGAATGGAGTACTCTCGTCTCCAGTAATCTGTAGTTATGAAAAAAAAAAAACTGCAAACACAAAACAGCCGCAGTCGACAGAATAATGAATTTTATCAATAGTGTGAAGAAGAACATGTGCCTGTGGCGAGCAGCATCGCCAACGCCAAGCTCTCTCGGCTCGTGCTTCGGCTCGCTGCTGTGCTGATCTCTGCTGGACGGTTCTTCACACTGTCTTGCCGTTATCGTTATCGACTAATAAACCTCGTCACATTTGATGGAGAGCGCTGTTTATACCCGTCGCTACACTCTGGAACTGCGAAGCCGCGCGCTACCACCCGTCATGACTGACAACGCCAACCCATCGGCATCGTCGCCCCAGTTCAACTGCCCTGGCCATCCTAGGCTATGGGACCCGAAGGTCTTCAGCGGTGCGGATGGGACCGACGTGGAAGACTGGCTTGAGCACTACAAGCTGGTGAGCGCCAATAATAAGTGGGATGAAGCCAACAAGCTGGGACACGTCATATTTTACCTCACCGGCGTCACAGAATTGTGGTTTAACAACCACAAACACAACATCCCCACATGGAGCGTCTTCAAGACGTCATGTGCTGAAGTGTTTGGTCGGCCGGCTGTCCGCAAGCAGCGGGCAGAACAGCGCTTGCGCGTCCGCTCTCAGCAGACTGGCGAAAATTTCACCAGCTATATTGAGAATGTCGTCGACCTTTGTCGACGCGCGAATGACACCATGCCCTAGTCGGACAAGGTCAAACCTAGGATCGGTGGCATTTGTAGGCGTTGTTGAAGGTCGTGGAAAGCGCCGGATTGTTTGGGGCCCCAGACGAAGGCGACGTTATCCTTGACGAGTTGTTGTAAAGGGTCAGTGATTTTCGAAAAGTTCGGCACGAAGCGGCGGTAATAAGCACAAAGTCCCAGAAAGTGGTGTACATCATGCTTTGTTTTCGGTATCGGGAACAAAGCAACTGCCATAGCCTTGTCAGGATCGGGGCGAACACCACTGCTGCTGACAATGTGGCCAAGGAATTTCAGTTCCTTATATTCAAAATAACACTTTTCCGGTTTCCGAGAGAGGCCGGCAGTGCGAATAGCCAGAAGAACCGCCTCAAGCCGCTCAATGTGCTGTTCAAAAGTCGTAGAAGAAACGACTACGTCGTCTAAATACACCGAACAAGAGTACCACTTCAAGCCACATAAAACTGTGTCCATCATTCGTTGGAACGTGGCTGGAGCGGAGCACAGGCCAAAAGGGAGAACTTTAAATTCATAGAGACCGTCTGGTGTAATAAACGCTGTTTTTTCTCGGTCCCGTTCATCTACTTCAATCTGCCGATATCCGCTACGGAGATCCATGGAAGAGAAGTAGTGGACGTGTCGCAGGCGATCCAAGGAGTCATCAATACGAGGAAGAGGATATACGTCTTTTTTCGTTATCTTGTTCAGTTTGCGTAGTTGCAGTTGTGTTGCAGTTTGTGTAGTTTCAGTTGCAGAATCGTAATGAACCATCTTTCTTATTAACCAGAACAACTGGTGACGCCCAAGGACAAGTCGATGGTTGAATTACGTCGTCGTCGAGCATTTGTTTCACTTGATGATGGATAGCATCTTGCTCTTTCTGAGACACGCGTTAAGTATGTTGGCACATGGGTTGCACGTTGGGCTCAGTGATAGTTCTGTGCTTCATTAGAGGAGTCTGCCGGACTTTCGAAGTAGTGGCAAAACAGTCACTAAAGGATGAGAGGAGACGTAGGAGCCTTGCCTTCTTAGGTTCTTCCAACTGACGATTTACGTTGAGGCGACTAGTCATGTCAGTATCGCAGCTGTTCTCAGTCGAGATCGTTGTAATCAAAGGGAAGGCGTCCAAATCATCCAATGCCTCCAAGTAAGCTATGGTTGTGCGTTTCGCAAAATGCCTGTGTTCGCCACCGAAGTTCGTAACTAAAACCGTAGTCTAGCCATTTCGCAGTTGAACGAGACTTCGAGCAATGGCCACTTCCCAATCAAGCAATAACGTCAGGTTACTTTTGGCGATGCCCGTAATCGACTGCTTCCGTGGTCACTCAACAAGCACGAAGATACTACTGCGAGGTGGCAACGTGACGCAATCATCGACTACGCGTAAGGCCACGCCACAATGTTCGTTCTCGATGTCGGAATCTGGAGAAACACAGTTAAGAAAACTGACGAACAAATCACGCAGATTAATTATCGCTCCATACTCTTGCAGAAAATCCATGCCCAAAATGACCGGCCGAGAACAATTGGGCAGTAAAAGAAATGATGCTACAAAAGCCGACGCACAAATCTCAAGCCTGGCGGTGCACCTTCCTATAGGAGATACGAGGTGTCCTCCAGCGGTGATTAGTTGAGGGCCGTCCCACGTTGTCAGCACCTTGTGTAGACGGGTGGCCAATGAAGCACTCATCACCGAGTAATCAGCTCCCGTGTCGACAAGCGCAGTCACCGGATAACAGTCGACGGAAACGGTAATGGCAACGGACGTTCTGTTGGCGGTTTCACAAACAGGCTTTAACGGCACGTCGTAAGGTAGCGGCGGAGGGTATTTGTCGGTTCGCGTGACAGAGGCCTCACCTCCAGAGGTCACCGTTTTCAGTTTGCCCGGCGTGGGCTTGCGCCACTGACGCCAGGAGACCCAAAGGCGGGTCGGGTGCGGTGCGTTGATGTGGACGGACGGGGTGATGGTGACCGTGACTGTCGTCGCGGCGGGACAGGAGGGAGATGACTACCTTCCAAGTAATCCGCAATTTCTTGTGGGCGCTCATCATAGCGTGGACAACGTGCATCTGGGTGGAATCCACGTAGGCCTATTTGTCGGTAGTAACAGTCGCGGTACATGTGTCCAACTTCGCCACAATGGTAGCACAAAGGACGATTGTCGGGTGCACGCCAGACGGTGGACTTCCGTGGGCCAGGACGAAAATCGGCCTGAGAATGCAGCAATGGGCTGGACTTGGAAAGCGTCTGGGGGTCCCAGTAGGTTGATAAGCAAAATGTGCCATCGACAGCGTAGAGGCGCGTAGGGCATCCGCGTAGGAAAGCGTGGGAGCTCCGCCTTGCGATGGTGGTGAGGAGTGAATGAACTGCCTGATTTTCTTACGAACGACGTCAGTAAGAGCAGCGCTACTGGGAGGGGACACTGCATGAAATTTCCGAAGTTCTTCGCGTACAACTTGCCGTATGCGTTCTGTGAGGACCTCCCTGTTATCACCTCCTGGTACAAGCGAGCACGCAGCGGACATGGTCGTCTGATGCTCATACTGCGACACTCGCTGCCGAAGCATGCGCTCCATAATTGTGGCCTCACGTATGAACTCGGACACAGTCGTTGGAGGGTTGCTCCTTTACGCCTCGCATTAGCAGGCGCACTTTCTTGTCTTCTGGCATGTAGGGGTCAGCCCGTCGAAACAATCGCGAAATTTCTTCGACAAACATGGCGACGCTCTCGTTCGGCATTTGAAATCGCGAAGAAAGTGCCTGCTCCGCTCTCTCTTTCCGTTCGGGGTTACTGAACGCCTCGCGAAGCTACCGATGGAATTCCTGCCAACTTGTGAATGAAGTTTTGTGGTTCTCATACCACACTCTTGCCGCGTCTAAAAGGGAGATATACACGTTCTTCAACTTACGGCAATTGTCCCAGTCGTTGATGGCAGCGACCCGGTCGAAATGGTCAAGCGAGTCTTTGACATCCTCACTGGCATCACCATGGAATGGGTTGGGTGTGCGAGGCGTGTTGATGACACAGGGTACGCTAGCGAGTGGGTCATGCTCGATTTGGGTTGCGGATGTGGCAAACATTGTCCTCACGGAACTTGCCAAGGGGCCGTACTGTGGTGGTAGTCCTTGAAAATGGCGGCTGCTTCGACAGATGTCAGCAGACCCTGGTGCACTGGCGGTGGTTGCTTCTGGTTCAGGACCAGCAGGCATAAGACGTTGCAGTACAGTACCCAGCACCTCCACCAGTCTGTCGCGAGAGGAAACGATAGGCAGGAACTCGAAGTGGAGGACTGTTTACTCAGCCACAGCTGCCATTCACTTCTTCGCTCTCGTCTTCTGCCACCAACACAGCGAGGCAATATGTTCGTAAGCAATCCGCTTTCCACACCTGTCACTTTGCTTGCGGGGGAATGTCTCGGCCGCGTGCAGGATCTCGACCTTTCGGCTTTGGTTGACGTCCCAGATGACTACTGCGACCACCCAAAATCACTGTCGGCACTCGAGGAGTCGTCCAAGGATACGTTTTCTAGCGCCATTGCCGACACTCTCACTCCCACTGAACATGCAGACCTGCTGGATCTTCTGCAAGAGTTCAGGAGTTCTTTCGATGTGTCGCAGCCTCAACTGGGCCGCACGTCACAAGTCAAACATCATGTTGAAACCGGCCTACACCAGTCACTGCGTCAAAGACCATACCGTGTCTCCCCTGAAGAGCGCCGCGTCATCAACGATCAAGTCGAAGATATGCTTCGTAGAGACGTCATTTGACCATCTCACAGTCTGGGCGTCTCCTGTCGTCTTCGTGCGTAAGAAAGACGGATCTATCCGATTTTGCGTGGACTATCGTCGTTTGAATAAGATAACCCGCAAGGACGTCTATCCTTTGCCGCGCATTGATGACGCCATCGACACCCTTCACGGAGCGGTACGAGGGGCCTTACACCGTTTTGGAGAAAACATCTCCGGTTAATTTCCTAATTGAGCCAGTTTCCAGATCGGACGACATGCGCCGGCGCGCACGTGACATCGTCCATGTTTCCCGACTGAAACCATACCGTAAGCTTCTGCCTGAAACTTCTTAAGTCGCCAGGATGGCTCCTTTTTCAGCGGGGGCGATTGTGAAGAAGATGTGCCTGCGGCGAGCAGCATCGCCAACGCCCGGCTCTCTCGGCTCGTGCTTCGGCTCGCTGCTGTGCTGATCTCTGCTGGACGGTTCTTCACGCTGTCTTGCCGTTGTCATTATCGACTAATAAACCTTGTCACAATAGCGAAAGTTCTTGCGCTCCATAATTCATTCATGATGCATGTTTTGCAGCAAAAAAAGTGGTATAAGTGCCCATGCTCTCTGCACCATGGATTACAAAAAACAGCCGTGCCACAATTTTGAATACCTCAAGTGTCTCTAAGTTCATGCGCACCATTGTGCTTACACCTGTGCATCTCAATTTTATTGTGGCGCTCTTTATTTTACTTCAACACTAGGAAACATCATAGCAGTGATTAAGATGGGCTTTCTTCGTTCTTTGTCGACGCCGGCAATTGTGGCGGCAGTACACGTGAGATGTTGTGGAACTCATCCACAGCAAGGGCTTCGTGGATTAACACGAGAGATGTGCTCATCTGATACTGAATGGAATAGACAATGTGATATAGTTAGTTGCACAACTTTAAGGAGCTCGACAACACTTTCTAGTGTGTTTGACAATCGGCGCAAGCAACAAAAATGTATCGCAAGCTTTTAAACATAAAAAATGATTAACCGATGTGAGGATTATACATTCACTAAACCTTGAAGTGGGGCTTTGCGGCAGTGGGGATTTCCAATAAATAAATGTTCTGATGGCTCAGCACCCCTTCACTGCAGTGCAAACACCTCTACATAAAGTCACATGGAAACTTATTTAAATTAATGCTTTCATGGCTTAGCACCCCTCCACTGCGGTGAAATTACCTTTATGGTGATTACTTGCAAACTAATCTACACCTATTAGTTTATTTCAAGAGCTTCAAAATTTTCAATAATTTAAACTCGAATCGAAGCGAAGTCGAATATTCGCACAAGCCTACGAATCTCCCTAACAAGATTTTGCTAGTGCAGGGGAAACCCTGCATGCTTACTATGAATATTGGCATCATTGATGCTTTGTTATACAGAGAAGTGGCAACTCTATGAATGGGAATCATTGGGTGGCCGTTCTACGCACTCCCTGATGTTTCACAGCAGTGAAGCTACCTTATGTCTATTTTTATTTTTTCAATTAAAGGGGCCCTACAACACTTTCTCAACACAGAAAATGCTGTCAATATGAAGTCTACGGATCTTCTGAACATGTGAGCCAAATATTGTTGTCTTAAATGATACACAAGACTTCCAATTAAAAAATAAAAAAAACATGCCAAAAATTGCTTTCTTTGGCATGCGAAGCATGCGGGAGGAGGAGGGTATAAAAGATACTGGCTAATTTCATGAATGACAAGCAAGATACCTCAGAGATTGTGTGCCTGCGTCACTCCCTTCTGAACCAGAAATGGTGAACAATACGGCCAAAGAAAACGAAAGAGAAAGTGCTTGAAGCCATGACGAGCGGCAATATAATTTTTCAGCAGCATATTACTTCCTTGCCACTTCCATCCCCATTGCCCCTAAGGGTAGCCCTGACAAAGCCCCTAAGATAGACCATAAGTAGCTGAGGTAGCTGAAGAGCTCATTGAGTAATCCTTGAAGCATTGTGCTCACATATTTTTTTTTTTTTTGGACCTTTCAGTTTGTAGTGTTTCCTAGACTGTTTTTGCATTTTCATGTTTGTCTGAATAGTGAATGCTTTAAGTGAAGCTCCATCTTAGTTCAAATGCAAGCTCACAAGCTCCTTATCTAATGAAGAGTTATTAGATTTCATGTATAAGTTCGGCCCCTTAACTCTCGTATCAGTTAAGGATTCCCTTTATTATATGCCAAAAAATTGCCTTTTTTTCCTTATACTTTTTGTTATTATATGAAAACAGCAATGATTCAGTTCCAGCTCTTGAATTTATAATTAAAACACGACACGCAGACCCCAAATAGCTGTGGCGCCCACCTTGAGTTCGTTGTAGATGCTGCGTGACTTGAGCATGGCCGCCTCGCGAGACGCTATGCTGAAGTCCCAGGCTGAGAACACTTTGGCACAGTACACATCCTTCACGCCTATTGACGTCTCAATGTAGTTCTGCTTGTACGACCGGGTGAGGCTGCATGGTCAGACGTAACATGTCAGTGCAAAAACGACGCTCTGACTTGTGTGGAAACTGCCTAATTCACAGCACGATAGCTGTCAACTTGTAATTCAACACACACACACATCGCATTTTCTCGCATATAACCCACACCTCCTACTAAAACACATAGAAATATTGAAAAAGGGATCCCCCTGTAACTAAAACCTTGATACAATAAAGCTAGATAAAACGAAATATTGGTTACAACGAAGTGAAAGTAGAATAGTCTTGCCATAGATATACTGTTAGGAATAGACTTTTATAATGAATTGTCAGATATAACAAACATATTTTCATGAAGGATGCAATTTTCTTACAATTAGGTTTGAGTGCATTGCCTGTACATTTTAACCGTGTGAATTGACTTTACACCTTGCCACAAATGTCTCCACTAACTGCACTCAAATATAGAAAAATGTTATTTAAATTGGTGGTTAAGTGGGCTTGTCAATACATATACAGAGTTTTTCAAACAATGTAGGAACTATCTCTGAGAGTAGACTACACAGCACAGGCACCGACTTCCAAGAGGGAGTTTTATTATGCGAACGTAAAACATGTAGTCAAAGTAAGAGACAAAGAGGAGGCACATAATAAACATGATAAAAAGCATGACTGGGGTTAACAGGCTTTCGATGAGGTGTTAATCTTGCAGAAACGCAATTTCCTTGTCAAGCACTTGGATGGACAGTAACCTGACATATGAAGGGCCCCGCCTAGTGATGGTGAATGTATCAATGATCACGTGCGTGTGCTCGACAGACTAGGCTTTTAAAAAAAAGAAGCACCATGTCGCGTCATTAAATGTGTGTGTGTCACACTAACGACTGTGCACAAACACAGCATAAAGAGCTACTCTATCTGCAATGAACTAGTCTAAGTCTGGAGTGCCAGATTCAGAACTGAACTCAGTATAGTGCTGCAAAATTTACCTCAGTATAATGATGTGGCACTATACAGCACTGTACTGAGGTCATTCAATGACTACTTGAGAAAGTGTTTTAGCACCTCTTTAACTCCTAAAACATATATAAAGAAGTTTTTCTGCCTAAAAAGGTTATTTCTTAAATTGTGCCAATCAATATCCAGCTTCAAAAAACATGTTTTGATACACGAAAAAAAATTGCTGCATATGTTAACTCATATCAGAATAATGCATAGTCACTGCCACTCTTGCTTCCAAAATCAAAAAGTAGACTTCAAAATCTGAATACTTGCCGCCTGACAAACTGGACGATGGCAAAAGGCATGACAAACGACAATGCATAGAAAATGCGTGCATCAGCTTCACTGGACGCCACTTTCTAAACACAATTCACGTAAACATGTAAAGTGGTGGCTACAATAAAAGAAATTGTTAATCAAGTGCTGCCATCTACGAAGCAACACACAAGTTAGCTGGGATCTGAGTGTCTCGTTCAAATCGCTCATGGGGAGATATTATCCCAACTGGACGAGACACACTTGTTTGAAGCAGTTTGGGTACAGTTTGGCAAGGACAAGCTGTACTAAGTCTAAAACGGTTAAGGGATTGAAAACCTCTCTTACAAAATATTCAATGACCACAGAAATAGCAGAGGCAAAAACTTACAGCTGACAATCCAAGGCTGAAGCAGGAGAGAGGAAAAGACAAGACAAGACAGTCACACAAACATTACAAACAATACACTTACACAAATGCCACCACACCATGGTATTCTTATTAAGTAAATGGCAATACAGAACAACAATAAGAGGAAACACTTGCAGGGCTGGAAGCGGGCTTCAGTCTTTCAGAGCAGCTTTGGGAGCAGGAATAACACGGTTTTGGAGCAGCTTTGGAGCAGTAAAAAGGGCTTTCTGAGCAGCTATAGCACCAAAAGGCATGTTTTGGAGCATAAAAATTTAGTTTTGAAGCAGATTTTTTGGGTCACACATAACTGTTAATTAAAATTTTTGTTTTCTCTTTGCTCTCTAATCAACACAAAAAAATTGAGCGGATGATTTTACCAAACATTTAATGCTAATCAAGTGACCAGATTTACCCCAAATTGATATATATATATATATATATATATATATATAGAAGAATAACTTCGGTTGCCGCAAGGTTATAACTATGAAAGTAGATGCGCTTTCACATAACAACTGTTTACTCTGCCGACGTTTCGACGGCAACCCCGTCTTTTGCAAGGCATATTAATTCCTTGAAAAGGCATATTATGCCTAGGCATATTATGGCATATTATTTCAAGGCATATTATGCCTTGAAAAAGACGGGGTTCCCGTCGAAACGTCGGCAGAGTAAACAGTTGTTATGTGAAAGCGCATCTACATTCATATATATATATATATATATATATATATATATATATATATATATATATATATATATATATATATATATATATATATTCAGTGGGTCTGGTACGTATAAGCAAAGAAGCTGGTACACATATGAGAAAGCAAGCAGTTCCTTTATAGATTTACGTTTCGGCTGTGGCACGGTCAAAACGTAAATCTATAAAGGAACTGCTCACTTTCTCATACGTGTACCAGCAGCTTATTTTTATATATATATATATATATATGTGTGTGTGTGTGTGTGTGTGAGCGTACGCGCATGTGTGTGTGCATATTAAACCTTACAACATCAAAGTTGAAAGCACAGAAACTCAGACAAATAAAAAAAATTTAATGTTAAAATGTTGCAATGTTCAAAATGTGATTAAAACACTGCATATAACATGAACAGCAACTCAAGACTAGAGATGAACTAAAATGTTAAAAGTTATCTTCATACTAAACCAAAGCTGCTGGTGAGGATCAGGTAACATCGGATGGAGGACAGATTGTGTTAGAAAAACTAGCCACCCTGTTTACGAGGTGTCTCCTGATGGGAAGAATACCAGAGTCTTGGAAGAACGCTAACATCATCTGGACACATTAAGAAAGGAGACGACAAGGACTAGAAGAATTACAGGCCGATCGGCGTGCTCTCCGTAGTATACAAGCTATTTACAAAGGTAAGTGCTAACAGAGTAAAGAAAACATTAGAATTCAATCAACCAAAGGAACAAGCAGGATTTTCGAACAGGCTACTCAGCAATTGACCACATTTATACCATCAATCAGGTAATAGAGAAATGCTCAGAGTATAACCAACCACTATACATAGCCTTCATAGATTACGAGAAGGCGTTTGATTCAGTAGAAATATCAGCTGTCATGCAGACACTGCAGAATCAGGGCGTCGATGAAGTATATATAAGCATCCTGGAAGAAATCTACAGGGGATCAACTGCTACCATAGGGCTTCATAAAGAAAGCAACAGAATACCAATCAAGAAGGGTGCAAGGCAGGGGGACACAATCTCCCCAATGCTATTTACCGCATGCTTACAGGAGGTTTTCAGAAGCCTAGAATGGGAACAGTTAGGGAAGTGCCACAGCCAACATGAGAACTGCAAAAAATTTAGATGGGCTCGCCACGCCAATACTAGACAATTAAGTGATTTTTTTTTATTAGGATATGAACTACAAGGGCACTCAACAAGTTTCCGCCGTCGCCGCCATGTTCCGCGAAACTGCAAGTCGGTAACATTCCTTGCGCATCATACGTTCTACCCGGGCGTAAAATAGCGCAAATTGGGTTGGTGAGCGCTGCGCAAGTTGAGATCAAACGAGACGGCCGATCTCCGTCGCTTCCAAGTGATGATACACGCAATATTATCCCACCGTGTGTTAGACCTGCCGTTGAAAGCTCAATCAGAGAGGAAACACGCCGCCCGTTTTGAACGAGCATGAAAAATTACGCGGGAGAAAGGGGGGGAGGGCAGGTCGCTTGAGCAGCAGCGAACTAAGAACGTGGTTGTGATAAGCTGGCATGCTCGTTATTGGCAAGCATCAGCGCATGGCTCATAAATGTGGTACCCTCTCTACCGAAAGAGATTGTGCGATAAGAGCATTTCTTCCTGGAGTGGCCATTCGTCCTTTCTTACACCAGCGCTTTGCAGTGTGTGTCGCGATGTCGGATTCAAATGCGTTAGCTTTCAACCTTCGTATTGTCACGGGGTCGTGAGGTTGACAAAGGCCACAGCCGCTGTTTTCATGAGTGAACCTTATTTGGCCGAACCTGTGCTCGGAAAACAAAACGTCACTCTACAAGCAATACAAGCTGTAGACTGATAGCTGCAAACCAGAGCATTGGCCATCGATAATCTGCCAAGCAGAAAAGTGTGTCGGCACTTATACATGTGTCATCGAAGATCCCCGCATTATCACTAGCGGCTGCGTAAGTTCTAGAACTCTAATGTACGCGTTGTGCGCGTAACCTCATCGAAAGTTCTAAGATTATCTAGATTGTTCGGAGTCATTCGGGAGCGGACTGCGCAAGGCAGCGTTACATGCGTAATGATGTGTTAGCAAAAATATAAAGCGCGTGCGGAATTACAAATTTTTGCTATTGCCATCATCACTTCACCGGTGAAACTGCTTTTTTTTTTTCCCAATTTATATGGCTTGGCAAACAGCTTTGCAGTTAAAACATATATAGAGTCGCATAATGCGGAACACAAACACCACCTTAACAAGATTCATGCATGAACTGAAATACGTCACCGAACTACTAATTTGATATGGACGCGGTTGCCCCCTTTGTGTAGCACATGCGTGTTGCTCGGTTGATGACAAAACTCAACTGAATTTGGTGTTGCACACGCAAATTACTGTTTAGGTGCCGCTTCGCGCAGCAGGTCAGATTGGTGCAGAATGGCCCAAATGGCGCAGCACTTCCACCCCTGCAGTTGAGAACTGCCCCTTTAAAAGTCTCCTAACTGCCTCTGCACGGCTCTGTTTTTGTAAGACATGATTGTGCTATTCGGTGCATGTTGTTGGTGCCAGTACTGGCGCAGCAATAACTTGGATGACTTGGATAATACTGTGTTTCTATTAACCGTGCTCAGATGACTACACAATAACTCTAGTCAACAGTTTCAAACTTTCTTACGAGGATTGCACTGCCTTTCTAAAAACAAAACGATATTCGCTTCGATGATCACTAGTCAGGAATATGCAGAGTTATTCCTAAATTCACAACCAGCTGAATTCGTCAACAAGTTGACATCAGAAATGAAGACTGCTAACACACACAAATGCGTATACCTTACCTACCTGAATCTAAGCCACTCCTTTTACTTTTTTTTTTTAAATGCATAAAAAACCCACCTGCATGTCATAATTGAGTACGAACCAAGTAGAATTGAAGGAAAATTCAGTTGTGGAACTGGTACAGCAATACCCCATGTTCAAGGATATTTTTATCTTTTCACCTCCGACTTGAATTTGTCTCGTAAAGAGGGCAGAAGACATGCCTAAAGTTTTAAAAAAATGAAATAAAGCAGTATAAGGAGGACACGAAAGCGAGGCAGTCAAGGACAGGTGCTGTGATGAAAATGTCGACAAGAGATAATGAATGTTGCACACAGCGTAGCACACAGAGTGATGAAAACCGTTGCCTGTTAATGCTCATCATCACTCATCGACATGTCGATCACAGCACCCATCCCCATCTGCCTCGTTTTCGTGTCCTCCTTACTTTGTGCTGATTTCAGTTTGTTAAAATGCAGACCCAACAAGCCCAACGGTCTCTTCTAGTGCACGAAATTTGCTTGAAAATAGCAGTCAATGCTTGCAGAAAGTACACTGACTATAGATAGAAAGAAAAATTTACGACAGAAAATGCAAACCCTGCCTGTCAATGCAGTTGTTGCTTTGAATGAACTTTACACCCATCCATTACAGAGCACACACACACACACATAATGAAAACGGACAAGTTGAAAAGAAATGGCACTAAAATGAAGTGAAAAACCTGTAAGCCAGGGTGACTAGGCAGGCGAACAGGCAGACAGCCACGGTGAAAAAGTATGCCAGCGGCAAGTTGTACGTCAGGGGGTTGCCTTGAGGCCACCGTACTGTGACGTTGCAGTAGTGGCCGTAGTACATGACCGTGTCCGCAAACAGGCCCTGCGAGTTTGGTGTGAAGCAGGCGGGATCAAAACTGGCTCACTGGGTTAGAAACAGATCAGGCAGAACTTGACCTCTTACGTACGCATTGTAGGAGTGTCGCTGGATTGACTGAAGACAATGTAGTAACACTTACTGTAACCAAGCCAACACCAACTTACTAAGCCAATGTAAGCCAGCACTAGCCAAAGTTAGTCAGTTGCAATCTAGTCTGGTATAAATAGTAGTATAAATACAAAAGGCACAGCACATCAATTATCGTTATCAGCCTGACCGCGCCCACTGGAAAACAAAAGCCTCTTCCATGTTCCTCTGGTTAACCCGGTTCTGTTCTTAGTGCAGCTCTGTCATCTTTTCAAACTTTTTATAGTCATCTGCAAACCTGCTTTTTGCAGCTGCCTAATCAATAGCACCATTGTTTGACATTCCAAAATAACTTAGTTGCATACATAAAAACACAAAAAAGACTGAAATAGTATAGAAATTAAATGTAAACATAGTCTACAGATCTGAAGAGAGAAATATACGAGGTCTGTTAGGAATGTTTCCGACCTTTGGAAGAAGAAAAAAAAACTGGCAGAAGTGAAGTGTTCGAAATCTAATCCTCCTCAAGGTAGTCCCCTTGAGACTCCACACACTTCTCCCAGCGGTGCAGCCATTGTTTCAAGCATTCTGAGAAGGCCTCTTTCGGAATTGAGTTAGCTCAGCTGTCGTTGCAGCCATAATGTCCTCCATTGTCTGAAAATGCTCTTCTTTCAATGTCCACCATACCGCGAGAGTCAAAGAAAGCCCTCACTATCACTTTCACGATGCTGCGCTCTTGGCAGGCCTTTTTTGGTCTTGGTGACGTGAAATGCTTCTACTGTGCAGACTGGGATTTGGTTTCCAGGTCGTAGTAGTACACCCAAGACTCGTCACCAGTGATAATGGTGTTCATGACGTTAGGTTCACCATTTGTGAAATCCAGCATGTCCTGTGAGACTTCAACACGAAGTTGCTTTTGCTCCACACTCCACCATGAGCAGTTTCAGCACGAATTTCTTCGCAACTTTCTTCATAGTCAAATCTTCAGTCATAATGGAATGCGTAGAGAAAGTGCTGATGGCCATCTCTTCTGCAATTTCCCATATAGTCACACGACGGCTCGCATCACCACAGCGTTCACTTCTGAAATTACCTGGTCATTTCAGCATGTTGATGATCGACCGAAGCGGGGCTCACTCTCTGCCAATGTGCGGCCGTTTTTAAACCAGTTGCACTGCTCCTTAATTTTTGTGCGACTCATAGCATCGTCCCCGAAAGCCGCCCTGATCTTCCCAATGGTTTTCACTTGACTGTCTCCCAGTTCCTGTCAAAAAATCCTACAGTAGTGCTGTGCCAGTTGCTTCGTCATTTACCTTGCAACGAAAAACTGACGAGAGCACTGCGCACTACCTCACCCAAACGCTGTGTTCCAGCGACTGACGCTATTGGAAGGTGGGGAAAAAAGAAGTTGGATACATTTCTAACAGACTTCGGTTACTGCTGGTGGTCGAGATGTTTCACAGTGAAGACAGAACCCTGAACCCCGCAGCTGACAACATTGCACCACCAGTTCTAGCGACACCTTCACTACCGACCTCAGCCGCGGCTGGTCTTTGGCAGCGTCAGCATCTGATAGAGCCCCATCCTTTAGGGGGCTAATCTGGCGAGGACGTGGTCGAGTGGCTCAAACATTACAAGCGGGTGAGCAACTACTACTCTTGGGACGCGGCAACTCAGTTGACTAACGTGGTGTTCTTCTTGAAGGACACGGCACTCACATGGTATGAGAACCATGAGGACGCCCTCACAACGTGGGAACGCTTCGTGTCTGAAGTGTTTCGGGGACACTGTGGTAACGAGGAAGCGAGCCAAAAAAATGCTGCTGCTAAGAGCCCAGGTCCCAGGCGAAACGTGCACGATGTACATCGAAACGATCCTAAATATATGCAAGACCGCTAACTGCTGCATGTCCGAGGAGGACAAAGTCGGCCACCTGTTGAAGGGCATCGCAGAGAATGTTTATCACTTTCTTATCGGTAAAGACAGCATTGGTACAGTAGCCGATGTCATACGACACAGTCGAACGTTTGAGACGCTGAAGATGAGGCGCATTGCTCTTAAATTTGGTCGATTACCTAACATGACCACGGTAGCGAGTGTTGACAACTACGCGCCTTCTGATATTGCACCTACAATACGTGAGATCGTGCTTGAAGAACTCAGTCGACACACTCGCGCGACGCCTTGCGAAGCTACACCCTTGCCGGTTCCAGACCAGTATCAGCATCCTGTTTCCATTGCTGCAGCAGGCATCGAGGAGTATGACTACGTTTCTGGCACACCACCGAGGCCGCAGCGCAGTCACTATCAAGACACCAGGCACCAGCACCGCTTCAGTTACCCTTGACAGCTGGCCGCCACCTATCAGAACCTGAATGAATACGCACCTGTGTCACCACGCCATCGCGATGCTTTCCAAAATGCATATCGTCAACCTCCTGTGTGCTACAGCTGTGGTGCTCCAGGACACATTGCTCGGTTCTGCCTTCAGCAGAGAGAGATGACATCAAGATACGAGCCATCGTCAAGACCTCCTCGCGGTGGCCGCAATTCTCATGATGATCCTTGGTGGTTTACGTATCCCAATAGCACCCTAAGACAAGAGAGCCAGCATGGAACCGCCCCCGTTTCTGACCGTAGCTTGACACCTCCGCCTGGCCGAACGCATCGCTCTCCTTCACCTCTACAGCAGCGGTCGCACCACCACCGCCGGGAAACTAGCCGGCGCGGCCGATGGAGGTGGGGTCGCACAACAGGATTCACCTTATATACCTCCGCCAGTTACGATGGACAAAAACCGAAAGTGTGTCAATAGACGGATTGTGTGCAACGGCTTTAGTGGATACTGGTGCCACAGTTTCTGTTATAAGCAGTTCGTTTAAAGATAGCTTAGGTCGCAAAGTTACGTTTTTCATCAGGATTCTGGTAGAGTTCGTGGCGTGGGCGGGGACATACTTCAACCTGTAGGAGTATGTGCCGTCAACGTGTTGTTGGCGGGAAAGGCGTTCCCAACTGAGTTCCTGATTCTGAAACGGTGTACACATGATGTTATTCTCGGCATTGACTTCCTCCAAGAGTGTGGCGCTTTCGCCGACTGTGGTAAGGGTGAAGTTTCTGTTAGCGATGGTGATGCCCTTCCGGCCCTAGTTGAGCAGCCGCTGCCTCCAGAAGAATTACTGATTGTTTCTAAAGAGCTGACATTACCACCATGGTCTATGAGTTCAGTAGCCGTATCTACTCCAATAGCTGCAGTATCAATCTTTGATGCCGTCGTTCAACCTCTCATGGTTCAGTGTGCAAAGAAAGATGTAATAGTGCCTCATTCGATTATTTCAATTACTAATGGCTGCGCGTTTTTGTGGGCACTTAATTTTTAGTCTGCGCCGATTATCCTTCCTCGAGGAATGAAGCTCGCACTGTTCTATGGTGTCACGGAAAATTCTATTGTCGCCATCAACGACGAGGAAAGTGAGAAACGCGTGGGCACCTCTAAACGGAGTATTTTCCGTGAGTCCCACATTTTGAGCATGATAAGCAAGAGGCTACAGTCACATGAACAACAACAATTGGTCAAACTATTACATTGCCATGGGTCAGTGTTTGACTTCGGCGAAAAGGGTAAGCGGCTGTCTTTACAAAGCTCTCGACCGCAGCATTTCATTGACACAGGCTTTGCCCATCTGGTTCGGCAAAAACCTTACAAGGTGTCGTCATCCGAGCGGAAAGTTATAGCTGGACAAGTTCAGGACATGTTGCAGAAGGGCGTTATTGACGAGTCGTGCAGCCCGTGGGCAGCACCTGTGATTTTGGTTCGCAAGAAAGACTGTACCTGAAGGTTTCGCGTTGATTATAGATGATTGAATGCCTTGACTAAAAAGGATGTATATCCGCTGCCTCGGATCGACGACGTAATTGACTGTCTAAATTCTGCTTCATACTTTTCTTCACTCGATCTACGATCAGGATATTGGCAGATCCCCATGCACCCTGCTGACAAGGAGAAAACGGCGTTTGTAATACCGGATGGGCTATATCAGTTCAATGTGATGCCATTTGGGCTATGCTATGCCCCCGCAACTTTTGAAAGATTTATGGACTCGATTCTTCGCGGACTGAAATGGGAAATCTGTTTGTGCTATCTGAACGACATTGTCATATTTGGCTGCACATTCAGAGAACGTAACATTCGTTTGAGCCTCATTCTGGACTGTGTGGGAAAGGCTGGCATGGTCTTGAACTCCTAGAAGTGTCGGTTTGGTGAACGGCAGGCCTTGATCCTTGGCCATTTGGTAGACAAAGATTGGGTCAGGCCTGACCCCTGGAAAATCAAGCGGTCAGCGCCTTTAAGCCACCCACGTCTGTAAAAGAACTTCGCAGCTTTCTCGGGTTTTCTTCTTACTTTCGACGCTTTGTGCCTAAATTTGCAGACATCGTGTACCCAGTGACCAGCCTCTTGCAAAAAGACAGTGCATTCAAGTGGACATCTGAATGTGATGCTGCGTTCTGTCAACTCAAATTTCTGCTGACATCAAAGCCAATTCTCCGTCATTTTGACCCATCTGCTCCTACAGGAGTACAAAGCGACACAAGCGGTATTGGCATCGGAGACGTTCTTGTTCAGCGTCATAATGACAGAGAGCATGTCGTTGCCTATACAAGTCGTTCCCTCAGCAAGGCTGAAAAAAATTACACTGTGACCGAACAAGAATGCTTGGCAGCCGTATTTGCTATTCAGAAGTTTAGTTGTTACCTGTATGGGCATCCTTTCACGATTGCAACAGACCATCATTCCCTATGCTGGCTCGTTACTCTCTGAGACCCTTCTGGACGCCTTGCAAGCTGGGCTCTACGCCTCCAGGAATTTGACTTTAATGTTGCATACAAAAGTGGACGGCGTCATACCGACGCCGATTGTCTTTTTCGCCTTCCATTGTCTACGACTGACGACAATACAGACACGTTCGAGATCTGCTTTGCACCTGTTTCACGTGCATTTCCTGATGTCACCACGTTCCAGCGGGAACAGCGCAATGACTTGACTTTAGACTCTTTATTCGCCACTGTCGGAATCACCAAGGGCAGTGGTCGCTTTTGTCTTCGCGATGAACTGTTGTACAAGGCCAATTTCTCGGCAAATGGTGCGCTGTATTTACTAGTGGTTCCCCAAAGCCTGCGGTACGACGTCCTCCATTTCATGCATGATGACCCGACGCCTGGCCATCTTGGATTCATCCGCACTTTACATCGAATTAGAGAGCACTTCTACTGGCCTAAAATGCCACAATGTACGAAGCAATACATCTCCAGTTGCGACAAATGCCAGCGCCACAAACGTCCTACAAGCATTCCGCATGGCTTCCTTCACCCTATAACGCCGTCCACAACACCTTTCGAACAAGTTGGTATCGACCTGCTAGGACCCTTTCTGCGGTCTCGCAACAACAACCGCTGGATCATAGTCTGCGTCGATCGCCTTACCAGATATGCGGAAACTGCTGCGATACCATCTTCCACAGCTGATTCCGTCGCCTCTTTCCTGTTACGATCCATCAATCTTTGCCATTGTTCACCTCGTGTCATCATCAGGGATTGCGGTCGCCAGTTCGTCGCCGGCACTGTAGAGGAATTGCTTCCTTTCTGCACTTTGCAGTTTCGCCTTTCAACACCATATCATCCCCAGACGAATGGCCTTGTGGAACACACAAACTGCACGCTTACTGATATGCTGGCTGTGTGTATCCTCAAATCACAGGAACTGGAATGAGATTTTGCCATTAATCACCTATGCTTATAATACAGCGAAGCATGAAACCAAGGACTTCACTCTGTTCTACCTACTCTACGCTCGACAATCACGCAGCAGCCTTGATATAATACTTCCATTCGAGCTCCATATGGACAATTCAGTTGCTCAAACACTGTGCCAAGTTGAAGAAGCTTGCCGAATTGCCCATATTCGCACACTGGCATCGCAAGATCGCTCCAAGCAGAGGCATGATCAACACTACGACACCGTTTCATTCGAAAAAGGGGACGTCATGTGGTTGTGGACCCCTCAGCGGAAACGTGGCTTATGCCAGAAATTTTTAGCACACTATGTCGGTTCGTTCGTTATCGTAAATCGCCTGAGTGACTTGACCTACGTGGTGGCACGCTTGACGTCAGCTGGTCGTCGGTCAAGCCAAACACAGTTGGCGCATGTAGCTCGTCTCAAGCAGTTCCATCCCACACTACGCCAATGATTCGCCTCGCCCATCGGGCTTTGTCTGTGAACCGGAGAATGATACGGTATGAGCCGGGCCATGTTTCGGGGACACAGGTAGAAAAAGAGAAAGTTACTTGGTTCGGCCTATATTCACCATCATCGCCGATCGTCGCCTGATCTCTCCTGTAAATAAACATAGTTAAACTCAATCTAACTGTAACAATATGTAACAGTAGGGTAACTCAACTGGCTCTAACAAATGATAACGACAATGAAAATACAAAAAAATTGACACATTTAAAATGTTCAAAGTTTTTAATGACAAAGATTATGTACCCTTTAAGCATACAATAAATTAAGTTGTACTGACTGTAGGTTATGACTGTAGGTTATGACTGTAGGTTATGACTGTAGGTTATAAACAAAACCAAGGAATGTGCCACGTACAACTTTTTTTCATATTGGAAGAAATTAACTTTATTGTCAAAGATACAGTATACACTAGAACATCTTCTCAAGCTAGTTGGTGAAGAGTGTAGAAATATTGCATTTTAATAATTTCGTGCTCTAAAAAGCAGGCTCAATCATCTCCACCGTAAATGGTTGTAACAGTTAGAATCAGCAGAAATGTTTCTCCCTATTCGAATGCAACTGCTTCTCCTGGCTGCACTAGCCATGCGGTTCAAATTTTAAATAAATCAGATGATGAAGATTCTACAGTACTATATTTTAGCATTTTCAATACACAATGCCTTCAAACTTACGCATTAATTTGACACAAGAAAGAGCAGTACAGAAATCCGAATACTCCTGTTCCTGCGTTTTTTTCGTCATGGGGTATTTGAACCGCGAGTTGTGAATAATCAGAGGTGAAAGCAAAAAATGGAAAAGAAAACACAAGCAGTAGCAACAAAACTCACAGCTCCTGTGAAGATGTTGATGAATGGGTCCTTATAACCAAAAATGTTGGAGACATCTGACCGCACAGGTGACGGGGACCGCGAGTAGATCAGCTGAGGCACTATTACAAAACCCACCTGGAATAAGATAGGTAGGAGAGAGGCAATTGTTTCTGTAATGACAAATACTCAAGGACTTATTGTAAGGTATTGACGAAAAATTTTGCAGAGTATTAACTCTTTAAGGGGCCCTAAAGAGACCTTCCAGACGAAAATAATTTTTCTTATATTAATAAATTACTCTTTCACAACTCCAGGACCTCCGCCAGTTCTGCAAGGAAACATGGGTGGTGCCGATACCTAGAAACTTCCGCACCCAACGCTAAGATTACATCTGTTTTGATGGCGGCTACAAAAGCCCAACATTGTTCCCAATCGATAAGAATAAGGTAGATTGTGTTCTGGAGGAGTCATAAACTGAACACACCATGTTTCAAACAATTTTGCAGAGCAAATAGTGCCAAATACAAAAAAGTATGTTCTAAAATCCATGATGCTGCATGAAATTCAAAAGTGAAAGTTGTACCTTGATTTTTTCCTTCACTAGTTTACCTACGATAATTAAATTAACATCATTAGAGTTTTCAGAGTACTAAATTAAAGTAAACTCATTGCTTCACTTTAGTGTGCCTTTAGATATGCTCAATTCGGCTAAAGCCACAAACTTTTTTCTGCTGAAAACTGCCTTGTTGAGTGTATACTTGAAGCTGTTATCATGGAACAACACACGTTAAAATCTAGGCCCGCTAGAAGTCCTTTAGATACTAAAATATGAAGCTGCAATTTGTAGCAAACAATTGGCCAACACCGATAATTTGTGGCGACTCTGGTGAGTGCAACCAGTAAGAGATGATTATAAATGCATACCGTAGTCACTCGCATATTTGCGCACTTTTTTTTCACGATCTTGGGGCTCCGAAATAGAGGTGTGAAAACTATGCAAACATTTTAAATGCACGCGTATGAAATAATGTGCAATAGTATATATGCCTCGATGTGATCGAGTGGAGCCCTCTAACGGGCGATGTCGGAGCGGGGACTCCTCTCTCAATCACGCTGCAGTGGCCGCAACTCCTGTATGTGAATCGTCTGCTTAGGAAAGTTTTTGCCAGGTTGCATATGAAAAGGTTGAAAAAGAAAGCTTCCAACATTCTTTGGCAAATGCCAAAGAATACTGGCCTTCTCGATGGTCTGGCTCATAAATTCTCTGACCAGGTGATAATTATTGTAATCGTTTAGTGATTTATAGGCTGTTAAAAGTCTGCCTCATAGGTATTACACAAAGGTGGCACGGAGTTCCGCCCTGGCGGCCCTTTTTATTTTCTTTCTAACATGCATCAACATCCCTTTAAACAGAATGTGTTTTGAAATGTACGAACCAGCAGGGCACCCATGCAGAAGTTGAGCGCGAGCAGACGACGTAGGAAGAGAAAGTATGAGGCCACCCCGGAGCCAAAGTTGCCCTGGATGTCCTTGAGGTGGCTGTGCCACAGGTCCACGTGAGAAAGTGCGTCCAGCAGGCCACGCTTGAGCCGCTGCATCGCCTGCGAGACAAAAAAGAGAATCACTGCCCAAGAACTTCACACAGGTGATTGACGGGGCTGCAACAGCCAATTTTCTGTCATAATCCATAAATAATAATAATAATAATAATAATAATAATAACAACAACAACAACAACAATAATAATAATTGGGGTTCAACATCCCAATAGCACCATATGATTGTGAGAGACACTGTAATGGAGGGTCTGGAAATTTCGACCCCCTGGGGTTTCTTTAACGTGCACCCAAGTCTGAGCACACGAGCCTACAGCACTTTTGCTTTCATCAACAATGCAGTCGCTGCAGCCAGCATTCCATCTCGCGAGCTGCAGTTCAGCAGCCGAGTACCTTAGCTACTAAACCACTGTGGCGGCATAATCCATAAGTAGTTTGCTAGACAAGCTGGTTTAGGTTCATGTCGAGATGCAGCGTAAAGCAAAAGTAGACAGAAAGAAGAAGAGACGGGAATATATTATATAACAGTTTCTGGGGTTTTACATCCCGAAACCGCCATATGATTATGATGGACACCGCAGTGAAGCACTCCAAAAATTTAGATCATCTGGTGTTCTTCAACGTGCACTGACATTGCACTGTATACAGGCCACCGGCCATTCGCCTTTATCAAAATTTGACTGTCATGGCCAGGATCAAGCCCATAACTCTAGGTCAGCAAAAGGGATGAGACAGCACTTGTCCCACCTCTTTTTCTCTGTGTCCGATTCTCTTTGCGCCATGTCTTGACATAACCTACAATCTGTGTTATGTGGATTAATCCTTGCACATTCATAAACAAGCTAGCAATATTTTAGTGCATTTGGAGTTTTAGTCAACTTATAACACAACATATTTTTATAAACATGTCACTGGTATGAGGTCTTGGCAAACAGCAGTGGGCTCATGACTTGCAAGCTACACTCAAACCTCGTTATAACGTAACGGGATATAACGAAAAAAAGAATATAACGAAGTAAAATTGACCTGTAAATGGATATAACAAACTAAGTTAGTCTATCAAATAGCCTATAAAAAAAGACGATCGTAGTTTGTGAAGTATATAGTTTTCTGCGGAGTTTGGCGTTCGTTCGGTGCGGCTATTTCAAAACTCCCGCGCCGACCTTACAGCCCCGCCACGCACGGCTGAGAGAGGCGTCCTTTTCACACAGAACCGTCCTCCTCACACAGCCATCAGAGAGGATTGAGGAAGAGCTCAGCAGGTCACATCGCGGAGAAGCGGCGCCGCAGTGCAAAGCGATTTCCCTCTCACTTAAGAACACACGAAGGGGAACCTTCAGCAGACTTACAATTATTCACTAATCAGCGGAGATCCGTCATTAATTGAAGTAATTGGTGATGCCTGTCTGCACACGTTTGCCTTGCAGCGAGTCAATTGATTTCGCACGCAGTTTGCAAAGCATAGTAGCGCACGGCTAAATCCAGCGGCAACATTTTCTAAAGACGACGGCAACAACTGCGTCTCTGTTGCTACCATGCATGCTGCTACCTTCTGCAGCGCAGCCAAAGCGTGGCCAGCACATGACGAGAAAGGAGGGGCGTCTCCACGCGGAGAGAAGCAGATCGGAATTAGAGAGAAAGGCAACACTCTGCGACAGCTTTTTTTTTTCCTCTCTCTCTTCGCGCTGCATTGAAAAGAGAAGGGTCTCTATGTGCAGAGATAAAAAAGAGAGAAGCGTTGCACAGACGCGTCGCAGATTGGCATTTGAGAGAGAGCAAACATTCTGCCACAGCCTTTCTTTCCTTTTCTTCTTTTCCTTCTTTGCATGCAGCTTTGAGAGGTGCCAACCTGAGATTGTGCATGGTGCTGAGAGCATTTTCGGAGCGCGGTATGTTCTAATTCACCGTCGCATGTGCTTGTGCATTCGAATTACAGGGCGTTTTTGCCAATTGGAATACACATGGCTTTGACGGGACCACAGCGTAAGTTCGAATTGACTGGAAGGTCGAATTAGGTGTGTTCAGATTAATGAGATTCGACTGTGTTTATTTTCCATCACACGCGTGGTCGCGTAGCGCTACATCAGGCCGTGAGGCGGTTTCTACTTTGCATGCTTATAGGTGTGCGCCTATCTGAGTACACATTGCCACAAACTGTTATAATCGATGTAACGAAATAATGGATATAACAAAATAATCGTGGCTCCTCTTCAACTTCGTTATAACAATATCTGAGTGTATAACATAACACGCTGCTTAATGAGTGAGAATCTGCATTCAGGCTAACTATTTTGTTTCCTAGTCAACTGTGAGCTACTTCAGGTGTGTTCAGCTTGCCACTGGAATTAAACCATTTGCAGCGTCTGAAAAAGTGCCACACAGCACAACAGCACTGATCGCAGGTGGCCAATTCGGAACAAGACAACAGCTCCCCTTCGTGCAGCACATGACACCACGTAAGCCATGCCAACATAGCGGCTGCCGGCAGCAGGTGGGATTGAAATAGCCTTGTACAGAGCATTTTTTTCATTTGCATAGGCAGAATAGACTTCTACTATTTTTCACTGAATACTGCAAATTGTTGGGTGATTGTGACATGGCCCCTTTAACCTGCAATTCTGAAATGTGCGGCCGCAGTGTTCATCACAGAATTAATCCCAAAAGTTCATTGAGGTCCTTCTCAATTATACGTTGCGTCTAACCAGAAATCATAACAGGTGTTAAATACCCATGGGTACCCTTCATTTTTAAAGGGACCCTGAAACACTTTTTCAAGTAACCGTGAAATGAATTCACTCGAAGAGCTTATTGCCTTACAAATTCAACACCGCAAAAATTTTAAGAATTCGTCCAGTGCGAGCGGAGTTACAAAGATTCGTTGCACACTGACATTGCATTCTCTCTCTTCTCGTCCCGACAAAAGCGCTGGAAGCTAAGCAGGGAGGAATGGCAGGGGAAGAAACAATATGTCATCCGCGCCTCGTGACCTTAAGCACTTTTTTTTCTTTTTTTAGCTTTGAATGCGCAACTTCTTCAGTGTGGTCGCGTGCGCACGCGTGGACAAGTCGCGGCCTTTCGTGGCGATCTCTGTAACGACTGAGCGCGCCATGTTCATATCAGCCAATCGCTGATGGATAGGCTTGCTACGCGTGATTTTTGAGTTTCTTCTGTCATTTTCCGAGAGAAGAGAAAGCAATTTTTAGCTGATTTTGATCATTTATTGTGAATTCCAGGCCGCGTGCTCCAGCATAATATTTGGCTCGCGTGTTGTCGGGAGCCTCTACTAACGATCAGCAGTGTTTTCTGACCATGCTCAAAAAGTGTTGCAGCACCCCTTTAATGGACCAGCAGTGAGTAAGAGGGGCCAACACAAATTCTGCAGCACATACGTACCAGGAGTTTTTGTGCGCATAGGTCATACACACTTCGTTTTTTCAAATCACGCGCATCATCGCCGAAAAAAAAAGAAAGAATAATAAACCCCAACATATGCATGCTTGGAGCTTGCAGTGGCAGAAACAGGATTGTGCGATGGCTGCTTAGAACGCGACGGTATTGCACCGACAGCTCAGCCGACTGACCTGCAGCGTAACTTAACGTCAAAAGTTTTCAGTTTCACCTAAAAGGCAAGATACTGAGAGCAATAGCAATGTGTAAGACAAATAAACAAGGTATAGATCATACTTTTTGTCAGCCCTATATAGCATTGCTGTGAGTGTATGCTTACTAATAACACTAAAGAGAACAGGCAAACAAGAAAGCTTCTCACTTGATCGCCACAAAAAACACGGTCTCATGAAACACTAGCATGATGAACACTGCAAACAGAAGAGCTTTGATGGAACATACGCTTCACTCAGTTGGTGAAGAAAGCGGAATCAAACAATGGCACATAACACACAAAACAGTTGGATAACACAGACAGGTGTGCAAGTACTACTACTCGTCGCTCTGTTATTTTTTAACCAAACTTTAAAAAATTTTGCAAGTAGCTCGATTAGAAATATGAGTATATGTTTTGTGAGTTTGTAAAGAAAACACAAATCTGTTCTAAAAATGATAAAAAGTAAAGTATTTGACTCTTTTATTTTTGAAGCAACATTTGTGAGAAAGATTTTGCACGTAAAATATTGAAATCTCTTCTGGTTATTAAGATGCACTCATACCAACTAACTCATCCTGCAATATTACTCTAGTTCATCTCCCACATATTTAACAATCTGTTTTTAAATGGCAGAAAACTTCCCTTGTTCACGGAACACTCTCCTTCCAGGTTTCGCATTCACGAGCAAACTCTTCTGTTTTCTTTGGTACCGCATGTGACTCTCGTTAACACTCAAGTGTGTGGCAGCAGCAAGGCTCCCACTTTTTTCAGCAAACTAACAGTCAGCTTCAATTGCGCCGTATAGTTATTGAAAGCCATCGCAAGCAGACGAAAAGCAAAGGCTGGTTGCTAAACGCGAACTTTTGATATCACTCAACACGCATTGCAGTGCGGATGCAGAGAACGAAGGGAAAAGATGACACGACTGGTCCTCGCAAACCTCTTATACAGAAAATGATCTTGCCGTTTCTTGCGCATGCTTTCTCAAGGCGGGGGAGAAAGGGAGATGGAGGCAAACTGTGCAAACGCTCGAGCAGTTCAACTCGTTTGAGCAGTGTGTGACAGTTTCACCTGCGCTACAAAGGGGGCGCACATAGCCCAGGCTAGTGACAACTGCCATGCGGCCAATTGGCGGGTCTGGCCAACACTATTTAGACTGGTTTGGCGCATTAACGAATGGCAATGAAAGAATCCTTCGTAAATATTTTTATGCAGTAACATTAGTCCAAAACTTCTCTGTGCGCACATGCTTGGCGAGCTGGCTCAGGTGGGGCGGGGAGCGCAAAGTATGCGAACAAAATTTTTTTTTAACCTGGCTAAATATTGGGGGTGCGCAAATCATGCGAGGGTGCAAGTTATGCTGGTAAATACGGTAAGTCTAACCACATAACAGGCACGCATGTTTTTTTTTATGTTTGATGAGCGTAAGTATGTCACGTGA